AACCCCCCCCCCCCCCCCCCCCCCCCCCTCCCCACCACAACATTCCCCCCCCCCCCGGGGGAGGCGCGGGGGGAAAAGAAAAAACACCGGTTTTTCCTTTCTTTTGGGGGGGGAGGGAAAGTACACAACAAACCCCAAATACAAACCCCACCCACCACCCCAAAAAAAAAAAGGGGGGGGGGCACGGGGGAAGTACAGCCTTGGGCTAGAAGGCTGTTTCTGCTCGGGGACCGGCAAACGGTACTTTCACTGGGTGGTTTGGTCGGGGGCAGCTACTTGCTATAATTTTAATAAAGGACGGTAAAGTTGCGAACCCCAGGCGCTGCAGTGCTTGCAGTGGTTGGACGGCCAATCAGCCACGGCCTGAATCTTGGCTGGGTCGCTTTAACCTGCCCGCTCATTATAAACCCCAGGAAGAACGGATGCACGTGAACTCACACCTGGCTTCAAGGCTTGTTCTCAGGGTTTTGAGGACCTGCCGAACATGTGACGTGTTCCTCCTGAGACTGGGAAAGATGAGTTGTCATCTAAATAAACGAATAGGAACCTGTGCATGTCCCTGCGTATTGACTAAAGCCTGGAACACAGTGGCGCGTGGTGGCCAAACGGCATCCCGATATTAGTGGCCTGGGGGTGTTAAGGCGTTTGCCCCTCTGATCCTGACAGATGGTATGGTTGGGTTAATTTCAGAACACTTGGGCCTTATGAAGGGGTTATGCGGATCATGGGGGGGGGTCTTATTCTTAATGGTGATGTGTTAGCCCTCGATAGTATGAGGCGGGGGTCTGGTCTTTCTTGGTCACAAGAAGAAACCAGCCCCACGGGGAGAGGGTATTGCCCGCGTGGTCTATATTTTCCATGGCCTGCGTCGGTCTGGGAGGTTATAGGCGACTAGTTGGCAGAGGGACCAGGAAGCAGCTCAATAGCACAATCATATGGCCTTGGGAGGTGTGCGGCTCGATGTTTGCTGAAACCTCCAGGTGTGGATTCTACGGGACAGCGGATAGATCGGGGCTCAGGAGGCTTGGAAACAGTGGGAGATGACAAAACATGGCAGACTGGAGACAATGTGAATGACAGTGGGCGCTCCAACTAGGTGAACTGTAGACAGTCAATTGGGGGTTGTGGAGCTTAGCCAGGAAAACCTAATACTACGGGGCGTTGGGTGAGAATGACTGAACTGACTCCTCGGTGATTGCGAAGGATAGAGTGGGGAACGGTTTGTGGTATGTTGGCTGTTTTTCGTTGGATTAGGGTTGGTTGTCTGGGGTTTGACAGTGGGGATTCTTGCCTGAGACGAATGCTGAGTCATGAACTCTCCTCGGCACCGTCGAGGTGTGGGAATGGGTTTAATGCCAGCAGGGACGCATTTAATTGAGCGAAAGGGGGCTGAGGTGGGTGGCTTGGCTCACAAGTTACCATTTGGTGGCCTAATTTTGGGTGGGGGGCAGCAGAAGTGACCGTGCTGGCCACAATAGATGCATAAACCGGACCTAATCCGGCGTTGGGTTCGTGGGTGGGCGGGGGCCATGAGGCTCTCCGGGTCGGGATCTGGCTCGGGGTGTTTGGATGGGGCTGCTACTGGGGACCTACCGAGATGGTGGCTCTGGGTAGGCGGGAAGGAGGCTGTGGTGCCCCCTCCTCTCGCTGTCCTCACAGAGTTGTCGGCCAGTAGTGGATTAGTCATGGGCTGCGCGCTATCCTAGCCGCTACTCGTTTTTAACCTCTGACAGCCCATGCACGAACAGTTGTACGCCCTCTCCACCACTCGGCGCAAATCCTAACTCGACGGAGAACTGCTACGAACCTGATCCCTGCGAAGATTCTAACGCTTGCTGCCTCCTTGCCTTGCACAGGATGATCAAAACCCTTGTTCCTCAAACCGCTAAGGAGTCACAAACAGGAGTGCTTCTCCCACAGGCGGGCACTGAGCTGCTTTCCTGACAGTAGGCTATCAAAGCCACTTGGGCGCTATTGGCTGGGTAGCGGCTGTTGTTGGAAACTAGCGAGCACTGAAGCAGAAACCGCCCCACCCCCAACCCCAGCATACCGTTCGGTGTAGGAACGTGTGGTTCCGGGGGGGAGGTGCTGCGGCTGGTGGGAGGCGGGGGTGCTGCTTGTGGCGGTGGTGGGCTGTGGGGGGTGGAGACCTGATCGGTTGGATCCGGGCGGCCACACTACGGGGTCCTGGATGGTGCCACAATCTGTCGAGGACCTTTCGTGTTGGCCCTGTTGCCCTGGTAGGCCGTGCGCCGGACGGAGTCTGGGTCCGCTGGGTCCATGCTGGCCGATTGTTCTGACAGGGCTGGTGTTGGGACTGGACCCGGAGCAGACACCCAGACAGTATGGAAGGTTTAAAGGGGGTTTTATTCCGCACACGCACACACACAGGGGGATGAGGGGCGGCCAGAGAGGAACGGGTGGGTGGATGGCGGAGAGACCGGAGACACAGAGGCACAGGAGGCGGACACAGGAAGCCAAACAGCACAAGGGACCCTGGGGCACGGGGAGAAACGGTTAGACAGGGGACACGCACGGGAAACACAGAGAGCTTGATCGCTAACTAAATACTGAGGGAGCCACAGTTACCCCATAGGAACAATTGGGAAGAGAGGAAGTAAAAAAAACGGCGGGTGGGAGAATGGGCCGCACCCTGGCCCGGGAGGGGGGGAAGAGCAGGAGGGGAGCAGAGCCATGACAATTTGCCTGATTCTTTCGACCTAGAATCTGAAAGTGAATTGATTTAACCCTTCTAAACTTAGACCCCTTTTCCCTTCCTTTATTTACAGGCTTACAGCAGTCACTACATTTCGTGTGGACTCCAGTCAAAGACTTCGACTCGAGTCACAAACTTTAGACTCAGCAAAATAAAAAAAGATTTGCAACTCAACTTGGACTCCAACACCAAAGACTTGTGACATCACTTTGACTTGAGCCTTTTGACTTAAAAAAAATACTTGATTCCTTTGCCCTAGTCAAAAGATGTTATTTAAAAAGTGTGCCACCAGTCATTTAATTTCCCTTCATTTCCTTAAACAACTGACGTCAACGCCATTCACTCCCAGCAAGTCAACTTTTAATTCCACAGATCCAATTAGATTGAACTAATCAAGTTGCAGTAGAGAACCACAAAGAACTAACTTAGCATCAGTTTGAAATAATTATACCACAGGAGAAAAACTATTTCGTTTAAGTTCAAGAATTCAGCTTCAAACTTTGTTAAACTGAAAAATAGCATAATATGGCCATAATATTACTCTTTTGTTAAAATGGCACTACATTTGGTGAAGAGCACATTATGACTTCTTTAGGAAAACAAAGTTCAGGACTTTGGACTAGGACTTGACTAATTCCTTGAGTGCAAAGACCTGAACCCATCTCTGCCTTGTAGTCATGAGGGCTACACAATTATTCGAAAAAGGATCAAAATCGCAATAAGTGCAATACCAAATCACAGAAGCAACTTGTTTGATAAAGGCAAAATTTGTTAAGTTTAGTTTTTCAACACAAATATCTTGAAATCAGTGGATAGAGGAGAGTGCCAGTGTTCCAGCGACAAAGGAAATATGTTGATGGGACCGGATATTTATTTTATGAAGCCTTTTTATTTGTCATTTGGAACAAATTAATTGAGATTATTTCATAACTGTCATGCCTTACCTGTGGACTTAGCCTTGACTCCAACTGAGAAGACAGGTAGGGCTTTTTTCCACCAACATCTAGCTTTGAACAGTAACCAGCTGGAACCAAAAAATAGCAGGTTTTCCTATGGAACCAAAGTGGGCATGTCATATTGTACAGGTTACATCATTAATAGGTTACCTATTAATGATGGATCCGGTTACAATGGTTCCACCCAAAAGTGGTGGAAACGAGGGCTGGTTTACTAGATAGCTCAAAGGTTCCAAGAATCTTGAATGGAACCGGTTTGAGAATCAGAGCTTGTCTCCAGCGTGTTCTTTTTGATGCAAATTGTGTTCTTTGGGTTAAATTTTTGTATTTGGTTCCTTCAAAGCATAGTCTTAGAAGTTCATCATAGCTAGAAGATGACATTGTCGGCTGTTTCTTATCAAAATGTATTTAGGAAGTGTGAGTTAAGTTGTGCTTAGTTTCTCTCCTTATGTATCTTTTGGCTTTTTATGAAATAACTAGATACACCGATCAGCCATAACATTGTGAGCACTGACAGGTGAAGTGAATTACACTGATTATCTGGTTATCGTGGCTCCTGTCAGTGGGCGGGATATAGGCAGCAAGTGAACATTTTGTCCTCAAAATTGATGTGTTAGAACCAGGAAAAATGGGCAGCGTGAGGATTTGAGCGACTTTGACAAGGGCCACATTGTGATGGCTCGACGACTGGATCAGAGCATCTCCAAACCTGCAGCTCCTGTGGGGTGTTTCTGGTCTACAGTGGTCAGTACCTATCAGAAGTGCTTCAGGGAAGGAAAAGCGCTGAACCTGCTCATTGATGCACATGGGGAGTGTAGGCTGGCCCGTGTGGTACGATCCAACAGACGAGCTACTGTAGCTCAAATTGCTGAAAAAGTGAATGCTGGTTCTGATAGAATCATCTCATCTTTTGTACTACTGATGCAGCCAGGAGAGTTTCATATATATTCAAGCCTTGAAGTGCTCCAGCTTACATTGGGCATTGTGCTAGATCATCTTTGTATTGTTATCCTAAACTGCATTTGCTTTTTTTCCTAAGGTTTGCTTGTATGCGTGCTGCCTGTTCTGCTTCATTTGTTTGAATGTTTCATTCACTAAATTGTCACACAGGACTAAAAAGAAGACCTTCACAGTGCAGAGCTTGCAGTCCTGATATCTGAAATCCACAGACAAAAACAGATATAGAAGAGTCGGGGCTGTATTGGGAGACAGAAGCTACCTCCCACAACTGATAATGCTGTGTCCTTGCACAGTTGTACCTTGACAGAAACATTTTCTTAATCTGTGTAAATTGTTAAATGTGACTCTTTATTGCTTCTGTCTTGCAGCTCGCTACTATAAAGAGTGAGTCTCGTCTAAAGCATCTCCTCCAGAGGTTACCCGGTTACTGTCCAGAGTCGATGGTGAGTCCACTTCCTCTATTACAGCAAAACTATATTTACATGCACAAATAATGAATTGAAATTAATGCAGTGAGATTAAACATCCTGAACTGGGGCTCAACAGCTGTGTTGTATTGCACCAAGAAAGCTCTAAATGGAATCATATTGAACCTTTGGATTGCTGCTTTTTACTTTCTCTTTAAAATTGAATATAGTTTGGTTTAAGACCAATGGTTAAACAATTTCAAAGGTCAGCTACTACTGTTGATCTGAGCTAATGTCAACTACGTGTGCACTAACATTAATAATTAGCTAACAGTAAAGCAGCAAGTGCAGTTTACTGTAAAACAAACAGAGATTTGTGCCAGTGCCTGAATTTGATAAAAAATGTGACAATGCCCTAATTCTTCTAATACTCAGCAAAGCATCAAAGTAGTTATTCTTAGACAGTTATTTCCCAACTTTGGTTGTATATACCCCTCGGAAAAGTCCCATATCTTGATGACATCAGTTGTGGGTGTGCCTGTGCTCAACAGAGGTGGCAGTGCTGAATGAGAAGATTAAGAGTACTCATTTGGACTAAACTCAGACATTGGCTTGTGCAAAGTTAGTGTATTTTTTGAAGTAATGAGAGGAACGAAAAAAAAAAAGTGGCCAGTCATTAGTTGTGCATGGGAGGAGAGGGTTGGAGTTTGCCAGTTGCCAGTTCTAATTTGCTCGATAAAAGTATGTTATCAAGGGCTGCAAAAATTAAAACTGAAACTGCAAAAATCAGTATTAGTTTTAAACATGAATATGTTTTTCAAACGATAAATGGACCTGTACTTGTATAGCGCCTTTCTAGTCTTCCTACCACTCAGTGCTTTTACACTACATGCCACATTCACCCTTTCACACACATTCACTCAGCGATGGCAAAGTCCATCAAACAGAAACTAACACATTCATACACATTCACACAATTCGGGGTTCAGTATCTTGCTCAAGGAGACTTCGACACATGGCGGGAGAAGCCGGCGATTGAACCAACAACCTTCCGATTAGGGGACAAAGCGCTCTGCCTCTTCACCACAGCTGCATGGTGTTAATGTAATGTTCTGGTGTCTTTTTGTACTGATAACTTGGCCAGTGTTGAGATAACATTTGTACCAACTCTCTAATTAGACTTATACAGGAAGTGGGTGGTTGGTTGTGGTTAACAGAATGCTGGAGCACCTGGTTCAACCACACAATCTCCATCTCTCTCGCTCACACTCATCCACACACACACACACACACACACACACACACACACAGGGCTCAGTCCTTCCTCCCATCATGGCTAATTACAAAGCAGAGGGGCTGGTTTGGTGCTCGTCTCGTCTCTCTCCAAGCAGCCTATTAGAACCACACCAGTAATTAGACTTAGGCAGTCTTAAATGTGTCCTGATCTTATTCAGCTGAACAGATGCAAAAACACTCTCAGCTATTGACATTTACAGTACAAATACTATGCACATGTATGCTGTCACAAATGCACATTATTATTATCCACTAAACTTATTTGATGCCCAAAGTTCATCAAAATAGTGGTTCTTAAAATGAGGGATATATTCATCTGTAAAGTCTGTCTCATTCTCTCTCCGGCACTTGAGCTGAGTTATTCTAATTTCATTGGGCTCAAAGTCTTCTTTTTAAGTTTTTAATTACTTAAGTAAGTCTTTAATTTTGGACCCTGCCACCAAAGCTGATAAGGGACTTTAAGTGGGTCCTACCTTATTTAGAAGTCCCATCTTGGAAAGGACTGGAATCCAGTTTTAAGATCCACCGTGTTTAATATGTTACGTGTTGCATATTTCTTAATAAATTTGTGTTTAATTATGCCATACTGCGTTTAATTCACTCAAACATCTCTGAATATAATCCAGGCAGGTATTATGTTGTCAACACGAAGTAATGATGAAAGCAATTTAAATAATAACCACACATAACTGCGATTAGAAAGGCGTTAAACAAAATTGACAAAAAACTGCTACTGAAGGCAGGAGAGATATGCTGTGTTCATGGTGCCATCTGAAACCGGTGATAAAGCTTCACTATGGTAGATGGTAGAATTGGAATACCACATCTTTTGTCTGGTAAAAGGTTTATGTAATCTGAGTTAGTGGCTAAAATACAATTCAAAATTTCCACGACAGCATAGTTAATTTCCAGGATATTTTCTCATTTTAGTTCATTTCAAGGTGCTTCCATGACTGGAAAACTAGTGTCTAAATTTCCAGGTTTTCCAGATTTTGCAGGATGTGTGAGAACCCTGCCACTAGCTAATTTTCACCCCGGGTCCGCAAACAGGCTAATCTAGCCATGATAGTACAACATCCAGATTTCGTTCGTCCATATACCTATGCACACATTCTGTATGTTTCCACTTTATTCATCAGTATTTGAATCCAGGCCTTTTCTGGCCTGACAAAAACCAAACTGTGAGAGACTGGCTGTTGGTCTAATGTAAAGAGAGAAGATTGAATTCTTAATCATATAAAAAATTAAAAAATAACTGCTTTTATCAGACACTGACACACAAAGGCCCTCGCTCTCTGGGTAGACTGGAGGGCTTTCTGCTTTGGCTCATCTAAATTGCAGCATTATTCTTCCTGTCATGTTCTTGCCTTATTGGCCCCTGCTTCGTCACAAATTATGTTTATGCTTCATGTAAAGACGCTGTTACTCCTCGGCCTGCCTTGTAAATGATGCTGACGCCTGCTGACGGGAACCTTTGTTCCCCAGCCAAGAGAAACGGAGGGGTGTTAGCAGTGACGTGTATTTGCACAAATGACTGTCCTATAAAGCCTAAGAGCATGAAAGGGATTGTTTTCTGTTTCTACCACACTTCTATTTCCTTGTCTTTCTGTGCTGCTGTCCCTATTGGTGTCCCTTTGTCCCTTAGGCAGAGGAGACCGACAAGGTTGTTTGTGATGATTAATCCCACAACGTTTCACCACAAACCCAAGTGGAGTTTCATAGCATTCATATGTTTTCCTGTTTTTCAACACTGTTTTGATCCAAGGAATGTCATGTTTGTTCTGTGTAACTACTAACAGCTTCTTCACTGACTTTTCACATCTCTTCAACGTCTCAGTCGGTTGTTCAGTATATTTTTTTTTTGCTGACCAATTTTTTTCAAAGCCAAGGAATTACAAGATAATGAGCTTGTCCCCAACCCTAACCCCAAGAGTTTCTCATCATATGCCAGAAAATGATATGCTCGTATGTACATTAGACATTTTTAATGACATAAGGACTTCATATTATGAAGGACTAATGCGATACTTGCACTATCCACAGCTGTGGACGTGTACATACTCTTGTCCATGTGGAAGTTTCCATTGCACTCTGGCAGTGTGTTATTTGTGCTATGGACGAATCTACACCAAGCAGACTGGAAATCCACCTCGGTGGATCGAAATAAAATGGCCCTTGTTTATTATACAGCTTTGTTGAGTACTTAATTCTACCAAAGCGGAAGCAATACGTCATTTTTAAATCACTTAAATCATTTTAAAAATCAACATTTTGTGTCAAACTATTAATTTCTTTGGTAGCTGTGCAATAAGCTGGATAATGTACAGCAAGCAGGTCATTATTTTGTGTGACATTTTATTAAACATCAAGTGACATCTGGCGTTTCATCTCCTTTGTCTTCTAGAATGAACTCTGGTTGTGCATCAACTCTACACTTCCAGGTAAGAGAAGACACTATTATTAAACCCAGAATGCGTATTAATTCTGACTCTGATTCTATCCTAGAAGACCTCCATCGATGCGTTTACAGGAACAATGCTTCAAATGTTCAATGCTTCAAATGTTGAATGCTTGTATTGATGAACCCACTGAGAATTAACACCAGCTAGTCCATTTTGGTTTTCTAAATCTTATTTTGTTGTGTGAAAAATGATATAGATAGGCACACAGCTGTTTTTATTCTCATATTTATTCCAATATTAAAACTTGATGATATTATTTTAGAGGTTACATAAAATAGCTGTGCAGACAAACTAATGCTGCATTTCCAAGAGATGCTAGATGATGGTAAATTTTGAATTTGAAAAGGTCATTACACTTTGAAAATGAACCAAAGCGTACGGTGGTCATCACTGATGATTTATTGGCGAGTGTTGTGAAGAAAAACAATCCCATCCACTGTTGAAGTCTTCAGAGATGTCCTCCTCTCTGAAAAGATGCATATGACTGACCTCCCTTTTTTGACAACTCTGACAACTTTAATAACTCATTCCCCATGACTCGGGGAATATAAGGGCACAATGAAAATAGAGAAGTTAAATGAGCCCGAGGTCCAAGGTCCTGATGGGCTTGCAGACCTCTAGAGTCAAGTAGAGCCTTACAATGTAGTGGAGACGGCTTCAGACTGGAAGGTTTTTCTGCAGCGTTCCTAACAGGGTGACTAAACAGAATGCACAATAAATCCAAATGAGACAAATTGACTCTAGAACTAACATGGAACATGACATTCAACCCAAGCTGTATCTACTGTGTGTATCTGGTTGCATGAGTAGAGATGGTAGCAAGTGAAGCTGTTAAAGCTGTGAGTAGAGCAGACAGCAGGCAGTGGATCAAAGGCCTAAATCCTACTGCCTGTGCTTGGAACAAATCTACCTGTCAGTAGCCTAATAGCCTCCAGATTTGGAGGTATTGTTATTCTTACCTTTCTGTACCCTTTAAACACTTGCGTCTAGACAGCCTCAGGAGTCTGTAAAGATGGAACCAGTTAAGGAACAAGCGGCCATCAGATCCTCTCAGATGCTGAGATATCATCGATTCTCTGATGTTCACTGCATTCTAGCAGCTTTTTGGGATTCACTCTGTTGGTGTAACCAATTCAATTCAATTCAATTTCAATTCAATTCAATTCAGTTTTATTTGTATAGTGCCAATTCATAACAGAAGTTATCTCAGGTAACTTCAAATAGAGCAGGTTAGACCGTACTCCTCATAAAATTATTTACAGAGACCCAACAGCTCCCACCATGAGCAAGCATTTGGCGACGGCAGCAAGGAAAAACATAATTTTAAGAGTCAGAAACCTAGGACAGACCCCTCGGCTTTAGGTGGCTGGTCGTCTGCCTTGACCAATTGGGGTGTGAGAGAGAGATAGAGAAAGACAGAGAGAGAGAGACGACAACAACAACGATGGGGGACAATGAGCAGTGATTATAGTTATTATAGTATCTGTAGTAATAATAATAATAATAATAAGAAGAACAATAATATCAGTAATATTAGCAATGGCAGTCAAGCAGGACCATGGCAGGAGGCTCCACCAGGATCCATGAGTACCTGCGAGACGAGAAAGCACAAGAACTCCGGGGAAGAAGTGAAGTTAGAAACATGCGTTAATGGGACACGAATGTGTGCAGAAAGAAAGGGAGAGGATGAGAGGAGCTCAGTGCATCATGGGAAATCCCCTGGCAGTCTAGGCCTATAGCAGCATAACTAAGGGATGGTTCACGACTCACCTGATCCAGCCCTAACTATAAGCTTTATCAAAGAGGAATGTCTTAAGCCTACTCTTAAATGTGGAAAGGGTGTCTGCCTCCCGAACCAAAACTGGAAGCTGGTTCCACAGGAGAGGAGCTTGGTAGCTGAAGGCTCTGGCTCCTGTTTTTTCTGAGTTTAGCAGCAGAAAATTGCAGCTCATCCAGGTTTTTATGTCCTTAAGACATGCTTGTAATTTAGATAACTGATTAATTTCATTGGGCTTGATTGATAGACATAACTGGGTATCGTTTGCATAACAGGGAAATTTAATGGAGTGATTCCTAATAATGTTGCCTAAGGGAAGCATATATAAAGTGAATAGAATTGGTCCAAGCACAGAACCTTGTGGAATATGACTAACTTTAGTGTTTATGGAGGATTCATCGTTACGACCCGGCTCGTTTTGGAGAGCAGTAACATACAATTGAGATTGGAAATGAGATGGAATGCGACAATTGTCAGGTTCAGGTTAAAATCAGATGTTTAATTAACTAAGGAGAGTGCACTTGCACAAGGAAATATAACAAAAAGAGGCTATACAGGTGCTGACAAATAACTAGTAGACAAAATGAAGGTGACTGAATAACACTAAAGAAAAAAAAGAGATCAGCACCCATAAGCTTACAAAATAGTGAACAAAAAACAAACTAGCAGTTATTCTGCAACTTAAAAGGTCTCAAACAAAAGAGTGTCCAACTGTTGGTACACTATACAAACTAAACAAGTCACAAAGATTACAAAAGCACTGGCTGAAACCACCCAGACAACAGCCAGACAATACTAAGAAATACAAACACTCTAAACTAACACAATGGTGTGCAACCAACAGCGAGGCAAACTGATCACTGGTTCACAGCCACCCTGAACTGTGGACACACAAGCTATTTAACTGCAGCTGGGGTTGATTGGAGACTCCCGATTGGTAGCTTCGGTGGAATCACAGCCACACCAATCACAGATGCAAGGGAACAGCAACCAGGAAGTAGGCGTTCTTAGCTCCAGAAGGACCAATCGTCGGCAGGGAATCACACAGCCGGATTTGCATACCAGCAGAATCACTCAAGAAACACCACAATTAACACACACTTAACGGCAGCCAGCGGCGGCCCTAACAATGTGCACAAACTGAGTACGATCTGATAAATATGACTTAATCCAACTTGGTGCCGTTCCTTTAATACCAATTAGATGCTAAAGTCTCTGTAAAAGAATATCATGGTCAATGGTGTCAAATGCAGCACTAAGATCTAATAATACAAGTACAGAGACAAGTCCATTGTCAGAAGCAATCAGAAGGTCATTATTAACTTTAACCAGAGCTGTCTCTGTGCTATGATGAACTCTAAATCCTGACTGAAAATCCTCAAATAAACTATTGTTATGTAGAAAGTCACACAACTCTTTGGCGACTACTTTCTCCAGAATCTTAGAGAGGAAGGGGAGGTTAGATATCGGTCTATAGTTGGCTAAAACCCCTGGGTCAAGAGTGGACTTTTTAAGAAGGGGTTTAATTACAGCTACTTTAAAGGACTGTGGTACATATCCTGATAATAAAGAAAGATTAATCATATCCAGTAAAGAAGTGCCAATTAAGGGTACAACTTCTTTAAGCAGCCTAGTTGGGATCGGGTCTAATAGACAGGTTAATGGCTTTGATGTAGAAATTACTCAAGTTAATTGATGCAGCTCGATAGCAGAAAAACAGTCTAAATATATATCTGATAACCATGTCTCCTCAACATTCTAACTTCAATGAATGAGTACCTTCACTTCTCAGAATGCCTTAAAAAATCCAGTGGAACTTGCTAGCTCAACATGTAACACATTTGCTAGTGGAGGTGCAACGGTGCACAAAACCTATGGCTCGGTGTGGTTTGGGTACCACAGATAACATTTATTTTGAATGTAAATATTGGATGGCAGCTCTTCGTTCTTCTCACTGTAGCACATTGAAATGCTGGCATAAAGTAAGAGTCACAAAATGGCAGTTCTAGAACCAAGCTGTTGCTTATTTAATTATATTTTGACTAGACACCGAAACTTCTTCGAAATACTCTCACACTATGTGACGCTGTCTGTTTAGTCAGTTATCTGCAGGAATAAGACAAACACACTACCAAGCAATCAAATAGCTGTTGATGTTAGCCAGTCTTTATGAGGGATAAAGATGGAAGTGTGTAACATTTAGGAGGATCTATTATCAGAAATGGAATATAATATCCATAGGTATGTTTTCATTAGTGCTGTCAAACGATTAAAATATTTAATCGCGATTAATCGCATTAATGTCATAGTTAACTCGCAATTAATCACACATTTTTATCTATTCTAAATGTCCCTTGATTTCTTTTTGTCCCATTATTTTTTCTCATTTTAATGCTCTTATCAACATGGAAAAGTGGATCAGCTTGCTTTGTGAAGATGTTTTTATTGAAAAGTCATCCATTGTTGCCTGGCTTTGACAAGGGGGCGGAGAATTCACATCAATGCTTGGCCATCAAGTGGTATTTCAGACTGGACGTCCTGCGATGATAGCTCAGTTCACAACGACAAAACACACAGATCACTTTGGTCTTGTCAATGGAACCATTTGGCAACTTTTTAAAAGTAAACTTTTCATTCAGAATATTATTGGCATCCTTTTCGGCGTCTCGCGCTCGCCATCCACTCAAAACGTAACGTCTACTACTCTTAAACAAGTGTGTGCGGCGTGCCTGTTTTGTAGTTTTTCTAACGTTACTAGTTGTTGCAACAGCATGTGAAAAAAACTACAAAGTGTACTAGGACAAAAAGAATGTTTATCTCACGATAAAAAAATTGACAGCCTTAAAATGGGTTTGCGTTAATAACGCGTTTAACTGACAGCACTAGTTTTCATTAGTGTATAATCACCTGAAAATAAGAATTGTTGTGTTTTTGTTTCCTTAAAAAGAGCTGTTTTTTTTGTGAGGGAGCGGGTGGAGATTAAACCAACTGTATTTATTGGAAAAGTATTTGTAGAACAGCCTCAGAATTGAGCTTCAGAGCAATGTTTCAGTAAGAGAAATATTTTAGATAAAAGTTGCTATATTTATTGTTTATAAGATAATGGATACTGACAAATTTAAAAAAAGGAAAGTTTCCATACAGGATACTTGTTTCAGCCAACTTTTGGGGAAATACTTTTTAGGATTAGAATATGTTTTAGGATTCGGAAATGGACTGAAAACAAAATAGTTAATAATGATAATTAAATCATGAACTGTCAAGCTAACCTCCATAAACACATCATATGGTTGATTCTGTGGTGTTTGATATGTCTCCAGGAGTATCCAGGAAGTCAGACGGCTGGGTGGGACTGGGCTGCTGTGAGCTGGCTATCTCAACTGAGTGCCGCAGGGAATGCAGACAGGTGAGGTCTATTCCAGCTTTATTTTTTAAGAATGACTGACCTAATGTTACCGTTATTCATGTTTAGGTTAGGTTCCCCTACGCTGTGTTTTTTGTTCTGTGTTCATGACAGACTTAACCTGCTTTCATTTGATTTCCCTTTCCCATATAGGCATCATCTAAAAATGACATAACAAAAGTATGCAAAAAGGTCACAGAGGTAAGTCTAAGAGTTTTAGAAAACTATGATTAATTCATTAGTTGCATGTTAACTGGTTTTGTCAATCCAAATGATATTACTATATTATTATTATATATTACTACCACTATTCGTCATACTTGTACTTCCTCTAGCATACATTTCTCCAGCAGTGGTGCTACTACCACTATAGCTACCACTTTCAAACATACAATACTAGTAGATATTTTAGATCTGTGATATTCATGTACCATTTTCTTTGTGTTTATTCAGGTGGTACAGCTCATTACTGGTTACTTAGTGCTCTCTGATAGGATTATACAGCTACTTACACAGGGTTACAAACCCAACAATATGAATTGTAATTTTGAGAGAGGCTCTTTAACATAGTTTAAGTTTTTCTTCTTATTCATATTAAAGCTGCAGTAGGTAACTTCTGTGAAAATATATGAGATTTTTCTGGCTCATTCTAGTGCTATTAATGGTTTTTGCTAGAATCCACTTTGTGCCATTTGGAGCATTAGAAAAAATCAGAAGAACATGCTTTTTTCACAGATTATCTGTCTCATGTACTACTGTCAGGACAGAGTGAAAAATAGTTTCAGCAAATATGACAAAAAATAAAGTTTTATAGAAATTACATACTGCAGCTTTAATGAAAAGAGAGAGAGGTGGGAAAGATTAATCTGAAGGGTCGCAATATGGTTAAAGGAATCAGAAAGATTCAAATGAACATATTTCTGCTGCACATATGTATGTTTTATGAATGAATTTTTAATGACTTTTTATCACAGATTTGCATTTTTCCTGTTACTGCTGGATACTTTCTTACTAAGTATTTTCAAACCTATACTAATCCCTCAGATAAAACAATCTAAGAAGGAAAAGTCACATTTTGGTTGAACTGCTCATGATTCAAAAATGTCAGGAGCTGCTGAGATAGACTTATGCTTTTTGTTAGTATGCTTTTTGTATTATAAAGTGTTAAAATAGTGAGTTCAGTATCACCACAGCTTTTCTCCTTTCCTTCTAGAACTCCCTCTACAGCTGCATCACCAAAAATGAAAGTAAGTTGTTAGTCACACAGACATACACAAGATGAACAGCGAAGAAGCCAACAATTGCAAACACTGATCTCATCTCTCCATCCAGCCAATAAATAAATAAACCCTCAAGCACACCACTATCTTCTAGGACCAATAGACGGGCCTGTTTGTGTTCTTTCTCTGTTCTCATTCTTGCACCGTGTCACACATACTGTAAATACACAACATGCACACACACACATAGCAGAGTGGTGTTGTTTGCCTGGCAGGATGTGAGGTCAGTATGAGAGGACTGAATTCCGCCTACAGCACACAGGTCCAGTCACAGTTAATGAGTCAATATGTAGGACCAAAAATCAAGTAAGCACTTTTTAAAGCTGCAGAAAGTACCTTTGATGAAAATAACTTTTTGTCATATTTGCTAAAACGTTCACTATATCCTGACAGTAGTAGAAGAGACAGATAATCTGTGCTCCTGATGGGAGCTGAGAAAGATGATTGTTAAGTCTCATTCCAAGGTCGTAAAATACTGCTTAGGTTGGTGGCTTGAAAGCATCAGTATCTGACAACCTGGGAATGAAACTCAAGAATCTAACTATGTTTCAAAGCTCTGATTGGTTGTTTTTGTTCAAGCCCCGTGGATTATTTTTTTTTTTTTCAAGAATGCACTAGGAGGAGCCAGAGGAACCTGTTTTTTCACAGATTATCTGTCTCATGTTCTACTGTCAGGATAAAGTGAAAGTTTCAGCAAGTTACCTACTGCACCTTTAACACATATCAGAATATATATCAATAAACAGGTAAGTGAAATTATGAAATGCTGAAATTACTGAGAATAAAAGTGTTAATTTTGTTTTTGTTTTTTGTCGTCTATTTTAGATTAGGTCTTAGTCGTAGTCTTTAGAAGAAAATGCTTATTTGTTTTGGTCACTATTTTTGTGCTTAACAGTTTTAGTCTAGTTTCAATCAACATTACATTTTAGTGTAAAATAATGTAAATAATGTAATATATTTATTTTATCCCTTGGGGGAATTTCAACACACAGGGGAATGTAGTACAAAGAATAAAGAAAACAAAATACAATACATTACAATGAAAAATACAGGAACAATATATACAATGTATACAGTAAAGTGATTAAGTTATGCTAACAGGAATTAAATAAAGGTGACAATAGGCTATTAGATTGGACCAATGATGAAGATTTTTTTTTTTTTTCACTCACACACAACTTAAGCCGATTACTCACAAAAGCTCTGGTGTCTATTTAAGTATTTAACCTGTGTGTGTTCCTCCAGTGGGCTCCACATGCTGCAGCTACGCAGGGCGTCACACCACCTGCAGGGAGTACTGCCAGGCCATCTTCAGGACTGACTCCACCCCCACTGTGTCGCAGATCAACGCTGTCAGAGAGTACTGTCAGAGTCACAGCGCTCAGCTGCTCAGCTGCGTCAGCAACTTCACCAAGTCTTACCCCATACGCAGCCCGATAGACAGTGAGTCCATCCACAGCCCACTCTCCTGCTGCTTCCTGCTGTCAAATACACAGCCATTTTTATTATGCTATTAGTCTAGGTTTACCAGCTCCGAAAACAATGTTTGTTCTTGTTGTATTTCTTTATTTATGTTATAGGGGACAACACACATTAATTAACATGAGCACTTGAGTTATCATGTAAATGTGCCAGATTATAAAGTATTGGCATATAAGAAAATATTTTTAAAAAACATACAAAAGCATAATCACAGACAAATATTAAAACAATGACATAACCATATGACATGTATAAGATTTTAAAGGAAACACACAGAAGAACATAAGCACAGACAATTAGTAAAACAATGACAGAAACACTACGCCAGATTATGACATTATATTTGATTCTCCAGTAACTACTATTAACCTTACCCTAACTACAGTGGCTGCAAACACACGCGAGAAATTCAAACAACTTAATCTAGAGCCAGTATTTGGTTCATCTGTTCTGGGCTACTGCATCAACATGACGGACTCCATGGAAGCTGACCCACACTCATTGTAAAACCAGAGAAGTTAATTTAACTAAAAAAAATTGTTGAAACTGATTACATCGAAAAGTTTAAGTAAAACTAACTTAATTTTGTAGGCTAAAACATTCTTGATCAAACTATAGTAATCGTGAGTGACACTGACTTCATTTTGATATTTTTATTTGTACTACGAAAACAACATACCTAGTAAAAATAATTAAATAACATAATCAACAACTAACTTAATCAAAAATTAAGTTTGTGTCACCTAAAATTACTAGTAAAAGCTGCTTCATGAAGAATCCTTTTTAACTTCCAAAATGTAGTTGTGTTTGATGTAATCCGTTTCAACAATTTGTTTTTGTTGAAATAATGTATTGCATTACAGTGCTCTCTGTAGATAGACTATTATTACAATCGGGTGATTTTACAATAATTAAAACATACCTATGAATATTATATTCCATTTCTGCCAATGGATCCTACTGAATATTACACACTGGACCTTTAACTCCGACTGCTATTGCCCATACAGTTGTTTGACTGTGGTTTATAATTATTATATTTTGTCATTACTCTATACAAGTATAGTCCAACCCGTCATCCTCTACTGTTCAACCTGCTTTTACAACATGTTAACTGCCTCAAATAGGAACACACTGACACGCATTACACACCACGCTTCCAAAATCAATGGTCTCCCCATTCCCAACCTCTCAGACCTCAACGATACAGCCATTACACGCAGAGCGCTCAGTATAGCACACGACCCCAGCCACCACAACTCATCATTCGTACTGCTACCATCTCGACGCAGATACAGGACCCTGGCCTGTAAACGTGCTCGCTATGGCAGGAGTTTTGTACCTTCTGCCATAGCATCTCTAAACAAGGCACCCCGGTAACCACCTTGGGTGGGTGCTACGCACAGGACAGGGAGGGTTACATGGGAGGGTTAAGTGTGGTTAAATGTGCTAAATGTGCTGCATTGAGTGTTGTTATGTCGTGGTGTCCCTATGTATTTTTGTATCTGTGTATGTATGTCTAAAAGCTATGTACAGACTGCGGTGACAAATTTCCTGTGAAGGACAATAAAGTATCTATCTATGTATCTATTGCTCCTTTGGACAGATCCATTCAGACATCTTACAAGTGTTCTGCATTGTCCATCTTTCCTTTTTGATGTAATGTTCCCTCAATCCATCCCTACTCATTCAGTCTGTCTGTCATGATTGATTCACTTCACTTGGGAAAGACAGTTGATGGGAGCCTCCTGCTGGAAAGCACTGTTCACCTTGTCAGCCACAGAATTACAGACACTCTTAATAGATTGTTACTTTCCACATGGAAGCAGGAGAGTGCTACATGGATCAAATCTTCCATTGCAGTGTATATCATTTTCAATGTTGGGGGCCATCATGATATAGTACATTTTCCAGCACTTATCAGTCCATCCTCCCCTTCCAGGTCTGTACTGCTGTGACCGGGCGGAGGCGACCCACTGCCAGGTGGCTTGCCGGCGGATCCTTCGCACCATGAGCACGGAGCACGAGATCATGGAGGGTTTGATCGAGGAGTGCGGCTCCCAGCCTCTCCCTCAGGAACCTATGTGGCAGTGCTTTCTGGGCAGCGCCCACCCTCCTTCCCCGCCTGAAGAAGACCTCCCCCATCCCGCCAAGATGGACTGTGCCAAGCTGCACTGCTGCTCCAAGGCTAACACCTCACTCTGCAGGTACATGGCACCCACCCCCCCTATGGCTTAGTGGGAGTCACATTTATGTCATATATTCTGAGTGCAGGTTGAGGTGAAATGTGTTTTCTTGTTATAACCTGGCTGTGCTGGGCTCTGACAGGGACATGTGCCAGGAGATCAGCACTAACTGGGGCAGCCAGACATGGCAGGACTTTGACCAGCTCTGTGAGTACAACCCGGTGGAGACGGAGCTCATCAACTGCCTGTCAGATGTCAGAGAGCCCTGCCAGCTGGGCTGCAAGGATCTGGCCTACTGCACCAACTTCAACAACAGGTTAGACTCCTTCATTGAGGCATGCTTCCCTTCTCAGTATTTTATTCACTGATGATATTTTGACATTATTTTGTCATTCTGGTGTTCACGATCACAGAGCCAATCTGCGATGCAGACGTAACATCATAAAGCGGTGTTTAGACAGATGTCAGTGTCTCCTCAACCTATTGACTGACTTTTCAGCTGCTTTCATCTTTTAAATTTCAACTGTTAGTTTATTTACTTCCAGTGCTTAAAGATCAATTAATTTACTGCATACAGGACTTGAACTTGAAACCAAAATGACTAATGCTGTCAGCCATTTCACTTTATTTTAACTGCTTTTAACAGCTTTCACTTGTAACACAAGCAGACACTTCAGGTCCTTTCAGTGGTTTCATTTCAACTTCAAACAATTTTAGTACTTCATCTGAACTGCAACTCCCATTCTACATTTCACATGCAAAGAATTAACATTTTACAGTATTTATACATGCAATCAGCACAAGATAGACGCTTACAGTTTTTTGTAGCCTTTTCTACTTTTATCAACTTATTTGTATCATCAAACTCATTGCTTAACCCTCTAACTGTGCTTGTGAACATCTGTGTGAAAATGCATCGTTTGGAGCCTGAGGGAAAGAAAGAGGCAGAGAGGGAAAACAAGAGACAGATTTATATTGAACCCGGTGTGACCCTGGAGTTATCAGAACCACAGCATGTTTTACACACTGTCTACAGATGGGGCCAAAGGCCAAATGGAACAGCTTCAAAGGCTGCACTGGGAAGTCACACTAACACACACACATCAAAACAAACTCAAATATACTTCACACATACTGCAGGTCACCTGGTGAGTGAGGCAACCACAAAAGCTCACAGCCGCTTCATACTGACAATTTTATCACACAGTTCAATTAGACTGGAGTATCAAACATTTTAAGTAGAACATTTAAAATGTTAGTTTGTTGGAACATTGTGTTAATTACAATTAAAGCAGCTACAAGGAGCTTGCATTTTATGTTGATTCTGGATCAAAATGGATGGATAACAGATATTCGTTGCAAGACTTCCTCTGCAGTCTGTTTGGCAACTTGATATGCAAGAATGACGACAAAGACTCTTTGTCTCTATCTCTATAATAATCTCTATAAACGTATGTATTAATTTTCTAGGAAATAAATCATTGTCAGATGACAGCCAATAGGTTCCGAGATTGCATTTCGGCCAATGTGTCCCACCTCTTGTCCACACAGACTGTTTACCTGCTTGCAACCAAAGCCCGCACCAATGTGATTTGGTCAGTACAATCGGACTACAAACGGAAACTAGAACAAAGCTCAAACAAAGCTCTCAAAGTGAACGGCATTATGAGTGCATAAGAGTCTCCCTCTGATGTATTTGAACGTGTTGTTGGATTTAATCCTAAACTGCCTGTTATAGGTCACAAAGAAAGTCATTTGACAAATTGTAGTTTCAGATCATGATGGCATGGAGCTCATGCTGTGGCATTGTGGGATTTGATGTTCAGGCAAACAAACTGTGTGTAAGTTTCCATTGATGGTCTCCAGGAGAGCCTTGTATGGGTTTCTCCTCCCCCGAGGGGTTCAAACGCTGGGCTGTGTAGCCGGGAGCAGCGTGGAAGACAAACATTGGTCTGGAGGTGGCAGAGCATGGGGCTAATAACTGTGTGTCTGTCTTTCTGTCTCTCTGTGGGTGTAAGGCAAACAAAAGTTCTTAAACCTTAAATTAGAAACAAATTCCTAAACCCATTGTGCCAACCCTGATCAAGAGGACTGTGTCCAAAACTCACTCACATAGTCATCAATTCATTCTTTCAATCATTCAATCATTAATGCTTTATTTCACTAATGGTTCGCCTGTCTACCCTCTAGAGTTTGTTATCAGCTATTGTAGTATTCTTTGACAGAACACTGAGTGAATAGTCACTCTCTACCTCTGAATGATGGGAGATCTAACCTCACAGAGACTGAAGTAATGGTGCATTTGGACAGTTGCCCTCAAACAGTCTTATAATTGGGGATACTAGGAGGCTTCTTATGCTTGAAATGAATGTTTGTACAGGGTATTGTGTCACCATGTGTAAGGCAAAAGTGGTTTAGAGTGTACAGGGCCTCAGATCATAGCCTCCCTCTGTCTGTTTTAATCACACAACAACAAGCACAAAGCAGTAGGTCTGAGCACACAGACTGTGAGCAGCAGCGCAAAGTGCGAAAAGGGCTGTGTAAAGCCAATCTCTGTGACACATGACAACAGTCACTTAACAAATGGAAGAACCATTCTTCAGGAAGTCTTCAGTGTCTTTTGTTTGTCTTTGAAGTCTTGATGCAATGAATCATACAAATTGGGATAAAAGCATACACTTTCAGGGCCTGTTCTCACAAATAAGTTTTTCTCGAATCCGGATAAATACTTTATCGTATCGGCCTCGCGTCCAGACGGATACGGCGTTTTCGGGGTGTGAAAACTGTATTTTTTGGAAACCATTCCCAGAGTGGGAAAATCCGAAAACGCCGGATTGCCCGGAGTCGTCTGGACGGCGATAATGGATTAGCCCTGCCTCTCTAGAAGCGTCATAACAACAACAACAATGGCGGACTACTACTACTTGTTTGTAAACAGCGCATGCTCCATGGCTTCTCTTCCGGTTTTAGTGTAGTGTGTGGCGGCGTCACAGCACCACATACAGGCCTGGCATATGTACTACAGCGTTTTGGGTTGTTTCAGTGAATCCGTGTGGACGCAGATATTTCTGGAAACGACTTTTACTGTTACGGATTTTTTTCAAAACAACATCGTATTGGGTGAGGCCGCGTATTCGTGAAGACAGGCCCTCAGAAAGTCTCTCTTTGGAGACATTCATAGTATTGCAAGATTGAAACAGAGAGAAAAAGTACCTTCACACCTCCACCCACCTGGCCAGTCACTGCTTGAAGTGGGTGCCTTTGTGGGATTCAGACGCTGTTCAACAAACTGACAAGCACTCCACATCTGGAGCACACTGAACTCATAATGGAAAACTGGGAAAACATTTACATTTGGCTTCATCACATGATGTACACTTGACACAAATTGTGCCAGGTTAATGGAGAATCTATTTATATTTATCAAATATATTAGAACATGTAATATGCTGCAAACAATAGCATACAGTTTATGTGTGGCCTATCTACACGCTGTAGCCTGCAAAGAATGGGTACGTTTGTTGTCTTGGTGGTAGTGCTAGCATCCAGGACCAGTACTGGGCTGTGAGGCAATTTTTACGTAGTGTCCACAGTCAGTATTGCAGCTCACATGACACCCTTGGGCCCGAAATGAGTCTGAGCATCACAAACACTTAGATATGATACATGTCACACACTTGTTATCACAAGTATAATCACAATTACCATCTGCTCCAACAAAAATGAAACATATCAAACTATCGTTGGTACAAATTTGGTTACATTTTGGTATCCGGTTCTCTCATTTAAGAGGATCAATTGGCAGAAATGGACTGTCTTGTTTCTACAGTAGCCCAGAACAGACAAACCAAACACTGGCTGTAGAGAGGACTTGTACTCGTATACACTTCACAGCCTGTTCTGATTCCTAGCTTGTCAAATACTGATGCCAGTGATGTTCAGTTACTTGCAATCTGCAACTTCACTGCTAGATGCCACTTAATCCTACACAATGGACCTTTAATACATACACTGTATATACAGTATAGCATGACTGTCTAATGCTGCCCATAGAGACGGATATGTTGGAAATTCTCTAATTGTACACTTTTAGACTAATCACAGTACAAATGGTGCTTCTTTTATTGTTGTCTTACATGCTTTAAGTTATGCATGTAAGTGTGTGTACTCGAATAGATGTGGGCATGATGCATACATTTGACCAGTAGCGGTTTTGGGCATGGCGCTCGAAGGGGGTCTCGCCCAGGGTGTCATTCAAGATAGAACTGCATTGCATTTGGCCATATGTCTACCATATTTGTTTTGTTGTGAGACATAAACATGCAGATAGTGAAAACAAATTTCCCTCCTGGACAATAAAGGCTATCTGTTTATCTAGATAGTAATGCAGTGCAATGCAACATTGTCAACAGTACAAGCAGATGTAATGTGTTAACAATTTGATTTTCATACCTCATTGGAAATCAATAAAAATAAATTGCTGCCTTGAAGGAAGGCAAAACAAAATAGAACAGTAAAGTTGTGATAGATGGGTTTTGTTCTTCTAAGCCTGAAAAAAAGGAACTGTTCCTTTGGAATTTTATTTGAAACAAAGATGAAGAACCCTGATTGTATGCGCTGCAGCAGGCCTGACTGAACTGCCATCCTCCATTACTGAAGTAGGGAAAGAGCTCTAGTGAGTTGCCATTAGTAAGAATTAGCTGATTGCCACATTTAACTTTGGTTCTGGAGGAAAACCACCATTTTGGGCTTAAATGAAGTTAAGCATCCAGGGTTTTACACAGGGTTTTACACACACACACACGCACGCACGCACGCACGCACGCACACACACACACACACACACACACACACACACACGGACACACAGTTGCTTCAAGATAAAAAAAGCATCCACTCATCAGCAGCAAATGATGGAACCACACCCAGGACTTTTGCCTGGAACCTTCTCCCTTTAAACCACCAATTAGCTGACTCACTTGAGACCAAACCCACCAATCAGACATCAAAGACACTTCCTGGTGCAGTCGAAGGGGAAACATAGTCCTCACATTACCCAGAGGGACTTGAGCTCCCTCTGTAAGGCCTGCAGAGCAGACGGCTACAAGGCTACAGTTTCCAGCAGACCTCGTCCTGCAAACAGCCGGAATGCTGCTTTTGTTCTGAGCACATATTTGTAAATCATTTCATATCATTTTTCATTTTTTAAATAGAAACCAACTTTTATTTCACATGTCCACAGACCGACGGAGCTCTTCCGTAGCTGTAACGTACAGTCAGACCAGGGCGCCATGAACGACATCAAGCTGTGGTCCAATGGGACAATCAAGATGCCCTTCATGAACATCCCCGTGCTGGACATCAGGAAGTGTCTGCCGGACATGTGGAAGGCCGTGGCCTGTTCCCTGCAGATCAAACCCTGCCACAGCAAGTCCAGAGGGAGTGTCATATGCAAGTATGTGTACTACTACCATTGTACAAGTGACAAGTTACTACCCAGTAGTAACTGACCTATGACCAATGTTGACAGATATTTTGACTTGTCAAACACAGGGATCATTAGTTGTTGCATTACATTCCAAAAGTTGCTGGAGTGAAGGCGTCATTAATGCTCTTACACCTGCTGTGACAAGTCAAAATGTCTGTTGTTCATTCACCCATAAAGAAACAAAAGTACTCTGATGCTGGCTGTCAAGGTTATTGCTAGATTCAAGCTAGCCAGATTTACTCAGCTAACCAAAATGAAAAGATAAACCCCATTCTGATTGGATTTAGTTTAGTAGGGTGTTTTTAACATCACCTCTGCTGGTCAGTAAAATTGTATGGCTAATGTTGTCACCCTCCTCCCAAAAAATACAGCCAAAATTACATGTACCTACTATTCTTCTGCAAACTTGCTGGTCCTTGTATTGTATTTTAAAGTGGATCTCTGAGATTTCTCCGCAGGAAAAACCACTTGTCCTTTTTTTTGTGCAAATGTAGAAGGTCCAAAGTTGTTTTCGCTAATCTGGAAACATGCTAAAACCAGCATATAGGCCAGTTTGGGAACCAATATCATGACAGAAAAAAATTAAAGCCATCATGAGAGATAGACCCTGTAGAAGCTCCTCAACTGGGCTGTTATAATCTGCTACAGGCAGGTAGGTTGAGGTTCCCCTGTGATAGACAGATGGTTGATCTAATCCCCTGCCTTCCCTGACCTGACCTGCACAGTTACTTTTCTTTCAAGCCTATATTTGTTTAAATTTTTTTATTAGTAGTTCCTGTTTTCAATGTACTTCATTAATGTCCAGGCAACTTTCACTGGATAAAATGTAGTTCATGTTCTTGATTATGTCATTTGAATAAAATTCTACATGACCTTTTTGTTATTAGCCTCCACAATAAAAAAATACCAAATGGTAGCATAATAGAAAAAGTTTGGCAAACCCCTGCAATAACCAATAACTATTACCTTTAACCATTATCTATAGTTACAATAGGCATTTACCACAAGATTCAACTGCAAATCTGCAGCATGTCAGGTCTGGTAGCAGAGAAAACCTTTCATTCCACATAGATGGCTCCTTTGAGTTTTTAAGCAGACTGTGTTTGTGAGCAGACAATGTTTTTGTATATTTGTCAAATGCTTCTGAGTGCAAAGACGTATCCCTACTTCCTTTTGTAATGCGTCTGTGTACAAGCAAAAGCAGACTAGAAAGCAACAAAGCAGCTTTCTCCAGGAGGAATCTAGCAGAGGAAAACTTCTCTAATCCCGGTCCCGACCTGGTTTCTTTAATCTGGGTAAATCTGGGTTAAATTGCATGCAGTGCATACCCCAACATCAAAATTTGTGTGCAGGTGATACGCTAGTCCTTCCCATTAACTTCTGTAGCTTTTGGACGTGCAGGAACATTTAAGGAAGAACCCTTTGTCATCATGGTAACATGTAAAGCGTCGCAGTTTGGCTTGCTTAGGTTTAGGGAAAGATCATAACCTAAATTAAATATGTATCGTAAATTAACTTACTCTTTGCTCCTTACTGGCATCTTGATTTCCCGGTTAATGTCCTGTTAAGGTTCTCACCCATCCTGGAAAATCTGGAAAACCTGGAAACAATAAAAAATATTCAAATGACCAAATATCCTGAAAATAATAATGTTGTCCTGGAAAATTTTATTTTAGCCCCTCACTTAGATTATGTAAGCCTAGCTTTGTATTTTGTTTGAAACTCTAGTGTTGGTAGGATAAACTGCGCAGTATGACACTTCAAAGTGGGTTTACCAGATGCAAAGCAGACAGAAAAATTCCCCTTTTTAATTTCTGCTCCTAGTGAAGAGCTGTTCACTCCCCTTGCAGCAGCCTATGGGCATCAAATCTATGTTGGAAATGCTGCAGATAGTCACAGCTACATACATACAGCTTAAATTCAAATTTACATTTGTTGTTGTGGTTGATAATTGTTAATCGTCCTATGCATCAAACACTTTGTTCCTCTTCTTTTAATTGGCTAAGTGAGAACTGATTTGAACTGTCATTTGTGCTCATGTATTGTAAAGAAAAACTCCTGAAAAAGGATTTCTTAAAAAGAGTGTGAACCCTGCCTGTGCTTGTCTGACCCATCAATTCCAGCCCAATCACCTCCTCCATACGCAGACTTTGTCGCTCGCACAGTATGGTTTGGTGTATCACCAGCATGCAAAATGGGACTTTGGCATATGCGCTGCACACAAGTGAGGCTGGGCTGCTAATCCCCTACCAGATTAAAACAGGTTTCTCATTCACGTGAGGTTGGAAAAAATCAGATTTATGCAAAAAGCCAACAGTAAAGTGGTTGCTTTAAAGTACAAACAGAGTTTTCCAAATTCTAGATTAAATCCAGCATCACGACAAGATGCAACATGATTATTTTTTGCTCACTACTGAAGACTTATTTTATGGATTTGGTTTGGTGTAATGTCTCTTAATTATTTGTCTTCAGCATAAATTTTGTGGTAATTTTTTTGGCATGTGTCTCTGTTTACCATTAATTACATGGTTTTCCCCAAAGGCACGAATTCAGTTTTCCCTCTGTCATTCCTCTCCTCCTCTCCATTCCCTCTCCTCGGCCCGTGCAGAATTAAAGCTGTGCAGTCAGTAATGAGTGATGAGAACATAAATCCATGTGCCTTGAATTTGATGGGCAGGTGGAGGCCCCGCCCTTCTCCCAGGATCTGCTGTGTCATGTCTGGAGTTTGTGTACCATTGTGTGTGTGCATACTGCATAACAGCATTCCGCCCCTTGGGCTGTAATGTCTTGTTCAGTCATTTGTCAGGTACAACCTTCCTCTCAGGTTTTAATCTCCCACTTGTCTTGAATGACATTACACCATCACACTGTACACATCCAGCTTCAGGCTGTTTGTGTTAGCAGAGCCTGTCTCTGCACTCCGGCCTTCAAAATTCTACATTTTAAACATAGAAGTAAGACATGACTGATTCTTATAGATGTGGTTCAAGCAGGCTTTTTTCTTCTGTTATCTGTCCTCAGGTCAGATTGTGTGGACATCCTGACCCAGTGTGGGGACAGGAAACGTTTCCATGAAGGACAAACTCCAGAGAGGATCTGTGAGCTGCTGTCGCCCATTGATGACCCTGAACGCTGCATCCCCCTCCACAGATACCTCAGTGAGTCACAACCATATACATACATACATATTCCTCAGTGGGGAGGCTTTCAATGCCTTTGAAGTTGTATTCTGTCCTGTAAGTGAGATGTAAAGGAGCTCAGTTATAGGTTGAAATGCCAACAAGATACAGTGTTGTATACTGCTTTCAGTCCTCCAAGAGCTCATGTAGCCAAATCTGCTGGTAATGGATTTGTGGCCACCAGGGGGCAGAGGAAGACAGAAGCTGACGGTCACTGTTAGCACTGACATTATAGCATACCATAAAGCTATTATGGCTTTCAGTTGGTTATTTTAGCAGACACAGAGCACCATTAGTGTCCCATTGGAGTTGTGTTTCAGGCCACCTGACAGGTTAAAGACCAATAGTCACCAACCTTTTAGCTAACTCTGTAACTTTGGTGCTGTGCAAGTAGTGGACAGTGAGTTTATTTGGTGAAAACAAGGTTAATGAGAGTGTTGAGACAAAGCTATTCAGTAAATGTGCCTGAAAACCAAAACAATGAGAAATGTCACTGTTTTGTTAGTCACAAGTAAGTACAGAGTTAGATCTTATAGTCCTAAACAAGTTATAATGTGCCTATCAACACATTTGCATTTTTGTACGCAGTGTTAAGTTAAAATAGTACATTTAGAGAGAAAAATGAATATTAGGAGCACTAGGAGGAGCCAGAGGAACATCTCTGTCTCTTCTACTGTCAGGATATAGTGAAAGTTTCAGCAAAAATGAAAAAAAAAGTTATTTTTATAAAAGTTACCTAGTGCAGCTTTGATTTTGTTTTTTACATTTCCATATATCCACCCCTCACATACACCCCTACCCCTTCACACGCCTTCCAGCCCCCAGTTCCCTAGGCAACAATATCGTTGAGGAGGTCATCCATCCATGCAATCCCAACCCCTGCCCCAGCAACCACTTATGCCAGGTCAACAGGAAGGGCTGCCTTGATGAACTCAACTGTCAGCCATACCTCTGTGTGCCAGGTATGACCAGCTACTGCATGGCTTAACTGTGTTCAAGAGTCTAAAAACTATAGCCTGGCAGTAATTTGTGTGTGTGTGTGTGTGTGTGTGTGTGTGTCTTCAGGCTGTAAACTGGGCGAGGCCTCTGAGTTTCTGGTGCAGCAAGATGCTCGTATCCAGGTGCCGACTCGCGCCGGTCCTGCCGGGTGCTTTGAGGTCTGCAGCTGTGGTCCCAGTGGGCGTCTGGAGAACTGCTTGGAGATGCCCTGTGTGGACACCAACAAGCCCTGCATCATAGGAGGACAGAGGAAGAGTAAGACCTCCCTCATGTCTGTCGGAATGTCAAAATAGTTTCCAAAGGCCCCATAAAAGACTGACAAGAAATATTTAAAAGTCTTAGATACAGCAGTACACATCTCAGGAACTTAACTCTTTAACAAAAAATGCTGGTTATGTGTAATGAGATATCTCATGAAATAAGTAATTGGATTCATCACTTCCTGTAGAGAGGAGACTAAAATTTGGACAAGTATGATTTATCTACAGCTTTTTAGTGAGAGCAGTGGGGCACTGCTCTCTTCATGCCATGTAGTTTCATTAAAAGTTAGGAGGTTTGGGGGGACAGTTGTGCAAAAACATGCAACTTCAATACCAGAGATCACTCTGTTGCACCCTGGCCCCTACCAACAGCCAGTGTCACTTGATATTTGGGTCACATTAAGTTCAACCTATGTATGTATTTGTGTGTGTTGATATAAGGAATATTATTGACAGCATGTATCCTGTTAAGTTCCTGCAGTTAGTTGCACCGGTATGTTTTTATTAGTGTATAATCACCTGAATATAGGAATCATTGTGCTTTTGTTACCGTAGAATGAGCTGTTTATCTACAGACGCCATGGGTTGCCTTCAGTGGCGTCATGTTGAACTGCAATGTTTCTACAGTAGCCCAGGATGGACAAACCAAACACTGGCTCTAGATAGAGCCTGTTCTTTTTTTTTGCGAGTTTCACTGCCATTGTAGTTTCTCCAACACACACAGGAGGTAGAGCAGGTCGCCTACTAATCAGAAGGTTGGCGGTTCAATCCCCGGCTCCTCCCACAGCATGTGGAAATGTTCTTGAGCAAGATACTGAACCCCAAATTGCTCTAGATGCGATATACCATCAGTGTGAATGAGTAAAATGTTTCTGTTTTTAAGATAAGCCTTTGCCATCACTGTATAAATGTGCATGAATGGGTGAATGTGGCATGTAGTGTAAAGCTCTCTGAGTGATGGGAAGACTAGAAGTTGCTATGTAGGTACAGTCCATTCACCATATACAAGCTGTTCTCATTCCCAGGTCGTCAAACACAGACGCCAGCGGTGTTCAGTTAGTTTCAATATGCAACTTCACTGCTAGATGACACTAATTTTAAGGCCTAAAATTGAGATTATCAGATTGAAGTCTGCAATTGTCGGAGTGATCCAGTCGCAGTCTAATAGAAAAACAATACTGTGTATTTAAGAAACAAAAAATGTAATCAATCATCAAACTCCTCTTCCCAACCAGTTACACAGCACTGCATCAATTCGTTTGCAGATGAAGTAGTAATATTCCAGTGAAGATGAATGAGTTGTGGTTCTTTTCAAATGAGGCACTGAGGCTCAGAATGTCCTCTAAGGTGGTGACTGAGGCAGAATGGATTCATCTGTCCCACAGGCCGTGTCAGTGACTGCTGTTACACCTGGATCAGAGCAGGAACCTCAGGGAGTCATTATTATCAGACTGTAGTCAACAGAGAAACTAGAGAGAAAATATAGGCACTGTAGGAGTTCATATACCACCCATATGATATGAAGACAAGCGTGTTGACTGATATTTGTGAATTAATGCACAAGTAAAAGAATCAGTTGCCCACCTGGTATCACGCCTAAACATGTAATACGCAGTCAACTTAGCAAAATAAATATGCAACGTCCAGTTACACTTTCAAAATAGTCGCAGTTTGGTTTTGTCTCCAAAACTACCTGGTTAGGTCTAGCAAGAGATTGTAAGTTACATTTCATATTTGATGTAAGTTAAGTACGTTATACCCATCCATCCAGCCTGTCGTCCTCCCTATGCAGACCCTCTTTATACTGCACTTTCATACATGTGTGTACTTTTCACATCTAGGTGAGGCAAAACGTGACACTGACACGGTTTCCAGTTCTCCTTATACCTCCATAATGAACATTTATCGTACAATCACATTAAAACACAACCTGAGAACGATACAGTCATACAAGTCTGTTTTTACGTTCCCAGTATCTTACTAAAGTTTCGGTCATACCAGCATTTAACCAGCCAACTTCAAAAAACATGCCACTGTCATTTTTTAAATTGCCACCATTTAATGAACATTTAAAGATCCTCACATTGTGGCTTTAATTTTTTTTAATGAGCACACATTCACTCCATTTAATTATTAATCTTGAGTTGTTTCGCCCCAGGTTTATTGCTCTTCGAGCTGTGTTGTTTTATGTTTGTTTTCACCTGCATGTCTGAGGAGGAGTGATCTGCTCTTCTCTTATTGAAGACAGATGTTTGGTTTAAATTGGACACACGCTGTTCTGTTTTGTGTAGAGCCAGGCTCCATTCAAAATTCTGCCAATTTAATGTTCTGTTGCCTAACAACACACATCACTTCACAGAATTTGAAGAGCCTCTCAGTTCAGCAGGTTTATGTTTCACCAGTTCACATTTCAACCAAATCACTGAAACGGTTAACTCATTCTAAGCAGATGGGAAGAGAGGTTACTTGAAAGGTAGCCAAGGATGATAAATGCTTTGTCATTATCCACTCCTCTTAATTCAGTCTTTTGAATTTGTTTGCACTGCAGTCATCTTGTTGACTGTTGACAGCAAGGTAAAACATGTTGCGAGGAGCACATTTTTGCTTTGAGTGCTGGGAAGCTTTCTGTAGCTTGTTACTACATCATTTTCCACAAAGATGCACCATGGTAGGTGGTAGCATATTTCTTTCCTTTTTTGAAAGACCAATTGGACATTGCATATTTATTCATGCTAATTTGAGCGCCAGCCACCACAATGTCTCTGTGTTCTCTCCCCTCATTTCCTCATTTATATTGAGCAAGACTTATTAGATCACTTTCACCAACCTTTCAGCATGGTTCATTGGTTTCTGTTATAAACATCATTTTAGAGGGGGGTGTTGTGGTTAGTGGAGAGCTTCAGGGCACCCTGTAAAGCTAAAGCTGATGTAAATAAAGGCTTTGAAAAGTGGCTGTAATGTCATGTCATTCTGTCTGAATGGGGCTTTGGTTTGCCGTGAAGTTCCCCTAACTGTTAGCATGACAGCTTCTCTTCAATGTGCATCAGCAGACGTTCTGACTAATACAGAATATATATAACATATAACATCCACAAATAAGAAAACAACATGTATAAGCAACATGTAGCATTTTCATTTATTTTAAATATTTAAACCCCTTTATTGTTGAACATGCATTTTAAAAAAGCTAAATTTTCTGGTGGAACATGAGAAATGGTAGTGAGGTTGGCTTTCTGTGGGTGCAAATATTCCCCAGGCTTATCCAGAATTTTAAACGGATGAATATTTAATGTAACAGAAAAGAAGTACAGCAGCAGGGCAGTAATAGCAGTAATAAATCACTGCTCTCGTGTAGGAATGAGTAAATTAATAATTGTTCTTGATATGAATAATAAGTAATAAGTCAAATACCTGTAGCACTAGATGTATCATATTGATACTGGGGGGGTTGGGGGCGGATACCAACTTTATGGGTCTTTGGTATATTAATTTCTCACATGCTTAAGGTTCATTGGTTTGTGCTTTTTCCATACCTACAAATATAAGACATATATTATTCACTCCCCTGCCCAGCTAGTGTTCAGCACAGAGTCGCTGACCCACATTAAACTCCTGTATTATTCCCATATTTTAGTGTGTCTTTAGTGTCACAGCTTGAGCGTGAGGCAGCAGGGGAAGGAGGACCCAAATGCAGCTAAAACAGGCAGATTCAATTCAATTCAATTTTATTTGTATTGTGCCAATTCATGACAGAAGTTATCTCAGGACACTTTTCAAATAGAGCAGGTCTAGACCGAACTCTTTATAACATTATTTACAGAGACCCAACAGTACCACCATGAGCAAGCACTTGGCGCCGGCAGCAAGGAAAAATGTTCTTTTAAGAGACAGAAACCTCGGACAGACCCCGGCTCTAGGTGGGTGGTCGTCTGCCTCGACCAGATCATATTGGGTCAGTGATTTATTGCCAAAGTGAAGGCAGGTACATCTACAAGTAGGGGTCAGGTTCTGTTCAGGTGACACAAAGAACCATGAAAACTGTGACAAGTCTGCTCACACCACAAATACACAAATAACCGAATCAGTATCCAGTATTCACCATCTTCTCTGTCATCCGACAATAGCCAAGTCATCAGAAAAAAAAGGATTTAACACTCCCTAACTTCAGTAGTTTCACTGATTAATTAGCTGTACATGTTTTAGCAGAAATGTCTCTGAAGGCCCTATTTTGGAATGTAAGTCATTAAATCCTAAACATACAGCAACACCTTGTTCATATGTTCTGCTGTTCTCTTGCTGTGTGCGTTTCCACCAGGCCACGGGACGTCTTTCAGGGTCGACTGCCACCACTGTTCCTGCTTCGCTGGTGACACCATCTGCTCCACAAGAGAATGTCTCAGCTTCGACAGCTCCGATGAGGACCGCCGACAATTTACCGGTCCGTCTGTGTATTTGCTTGTCACGTTCCATGTGTCTGCCAGTCTTTGACCAATGTAATGGTTTGAACCTGATTTCGGTCATTTCAGATGAGGTTGGTCAAACACTAAAAGGGTCTAGAAACTTGAAGGTTGCTTAATAGAGTCCCTGACACTCAATCCGATTTTTATGGCCAGGTTTTTTTCATATGTAGCATTCTACGTCAGCATTCTGTGTCTGCCCTCAACCCAGCTTGATCAGGCATACAGATTTGTGCAAAAAAACTCAAGTTGTGATACTTTTGAATACTTTTCTCCCTCACAGTAGTTGTCATCTGTCCCTCTGTCCTCCTCCCGTCCTCCTCCAGGTCTTCCCTGTAACTGTCCGGACCGCTTCGTCCCAGTGTGTGCCTCCAATGGGCGGACCTATCCCAGCGCCTGTGTGGCTCGCTGTATGGGATTCAAGGACTTTGAATTTGCCTTTGGCTTGTGCCGGCTCAGTAACCCCTGTGCCAACAAACCCTGTGAGAGAAACCAGAGGTAGGTTCACAGTTTTGCAGTCATAGGCCTGTTTTCCACCAACAGAGAACCTGTTCCAGTTCAAGCACCTTGTTGAACCGCATTCCAACCAAAACTAAATTGGTTCAGAACTAGAAAAGGTGGTTCCCCAAAAGAAATTGCAGGTTTTCTTTGGGAACCAATATTCTACAGGTCTCTGTATATTGTGCAGCACCCTCTGTTGATGATGCATCCAATTACTATGGTTCCACTCAAAACCATTGGGCTGATGGGTAGATAGCACCAAGTTTCCGAGAATCTTGAACCGGTTCAAAAACCAGAGCTTATTTGGTGGAAAAACACTTTCAGTGTGCTTGCTGGTGACAACAGGCACCAACCAATCAACACTAAGGAAAAACCTTCCACCTGAAAACGCCTGTTGTTTCCTGTTGAACTACAGTGAGGCCTTTCTTTAAACCAAGCTTATATTAAAGACGGGTCCGCAGGGCGGCTGTAGCTGAGAGGCACAGCGGGTCGTTCCTTAATCGTAAGGTTGTGGGTTTGATCCCCGGCTCCTGGTGCCACATGTCGAAGTATCCTTGAGCAAGATACTGAACCCCAAATTGCTCCCAATACCGTGCATCAGTGTGTGAATGTGTATGAATGTTAGTTTCTGTTCGATGGACTTTGCCATCACTGAGTGAATGTGTGTGAAAGGGTGAATGTGGCACGTAGTGTAAAAGCACTTTGAGTGGTCAGAAGACTAGAAAGGCGCTGTACAAGTACAGGTCCATTTACCATTTACCATTCCCAACTTTGACTGTTTCGAGGGATTTAAGGATTCAAGAATGTGTTCATCCCATGTACAAGTAATATGTGTAGTGTGTGCTGTGCTGAAGGACTAGTGTGAAAAATAAGTATAAGACAAGCGAAATATAAAAGATACAATAAAAATAAAAATGTATAAAAATAAATTCAAGGTAAAAAGTAAAACGATGTGAAAATCTAAATTGTAAGACCTCACCCTGTTTTCTGATCCGTTCATTTTACAGTCATCCCACCCACAAACTAACACACATAAACACAAACACATAGGCAGATTTACCACGTTCACTAACACCCCATGATGACGTCTGTTATCTTGCAGCATAAACTTTCATAAACTCTTTTTCCTGGCTCTGTGTTCAAAGACTGAACGCACACACACACACGAGTGGAGGTATGTGTGGAGACTTGGTGGTTGCTATGGTGATAGAGCTGCGTTTCTTTGTTTGTTTAGAGGGAAGGGTGCTTTGCCTTTTTATTGCAGCTTTTTTACCAAAATATAGTCCTGAGTGAATGTTGTGTATTGGTAGTCTGAAGCTCCTCACCTGGTCTCACAAAATTCAATTCAATTTCAATTTTATTTGTAAAATATATAAAATAAAATGGCTCCTGTTCTACTTTTAGAGACTATAGGAACCACAAGTAGCCCAGCATTCAGAGAACGTAGTGTTCTAGAGGGGTAATAGGGTACTATGAGCTCTTTAAGATATGAAGGGGTCTGACCATGAAGAGCTTTATAGGTGTGGAGGAGGATTTTAAATTCTATTCTACATTTTACAGGGAGCCAGTGCAGAGAAGCTAGTACAGGAGAGATGTGATCTCTTTTTCTAGTTCCTGTCAGTACTCGTGCTGCAGCGTTCTGAATTAATTGGAGCGTTTTAATGGACTTATTGGGGCAACCTGATAATAAAGAGTTGCAGTAATCCAGCCTTGAAGTAACAAATGCATGGATTAGTTTTTCTGCATCTGTCTGTGATAGTATGTGTCTAATTTTTCTAATATTACGTAAATGAAAGAAGGCACTCCTGGAGGTCTGCTTTATGTGGGAAAAGATAACTCCAAGATTCCTGACAGTGGTGCTAGAGGCCAAGGTAATGCCATCTAGAGTAACTATATCATTAGACAGTGAGTCTCTGATTAATTTCATCGGGCTTGATCGATAGATATAGCTGGGTATTCAATTCAGTTCAATTCAATTTTATTTGTATAGCGCCAATTTATAACAGAAGTTATCTCAGGACACTTTCAAATAGAGCAGGTCTAGACCGAACTCCTGGGTGGTCATCTGTCTCGACCAGTTGGGGTGAGAGGGAGAGAGAGAGAGAGAGAGAGAGAGAGAGAGAGACACAGACAGACAGACAGACGATGCAGCACTAAGATCTAATAATACAAGTACAGAGACAAGTCCATTGTCAGAAGCAGTCAGAAGGTCATTATTAACTTTAACCAGAGCTGTCTCTGTGCTGTGATGAACTCTAAATCCTGACTGAAAATCCTCAAATAAGCTATTGTTATGTAGAAAGTCACACAACTCTTTGGTGACTACTTTCTCCAGAATCTTAGAGAGGAAGGGGAGGTTAGAGATTGGTCTATAATGAAATAAGGAAAAAGAGCAGTGTAGATGGAAATAAATAGATAGATAGAAAGGAATATATATCTTGACTTAATGACTTAATAATAGATTTTGCAGCATATAAAGTTTGAATATACATCTTTGGTTTTTACAAGTAGCATAAATCCTTGTATATCGTGTGTGTGTGTGTGTGTGTGTGTGTGTGTGTGTGTCTCCAGGTGTATCCCGAAGTATCGCGTGTGTCTGAGTGACTCATCCGACTGCGTGCAGCACGAGTGTGTTGGCCGGCCGACGCCCTGCGATAAGAGCAGTGTGGAGCCAGCCTGTGATACTGATGGCCTGGTCCACCCCAGTGTGTGCCAGCTTCAGCAGGCTGGGAAAACCCTGGCCTACATGGGCCACTGCCAGGTAGGTTACACAGGAGTGCACACACACGGGAGGCAGCGGGGCTCAATGGCCGCTGTCTTCATGTTTAGAAACAGAAATGAGTCCTAAAACCCTGAAAAGAGTTAGCATTTTAGCACCAGTTCCCTCTCCTCGAAGTCAATCGCTTTTTTGCTTAGATGCCTGAAATAAGGTCCATGGTTAACACACCTTTTTGTTGTATGACATAAAATACGTCAGTAAATACCCTACTACTGAATTCTGAAGCTTTTACACGTCTTAAAAAAGGCGGTTGCTACCAAGTGGCTAAATGAGAAATTTTGTGGGGAGTAGCAGAAAAGTAATATAACTAATAGTGTCACTAATTACCGGCAGGGAGTAATGAGTAAAGTGAAATGAGTAATATATTACATTTTTGGAGTAATTAGCCCAGCACTGGAAATCAGCGTGATGTCCAATGTGGTGTCTATGTACAGTATACAGTAGAGTGTAAGAAAAAAACAAAAAATATATCGTAATATTTTGTTAGGTGATATATAACCCCCAGCTGCTAGATATCAGTGTTGAAACAGGTTTTTTTTATTGGAACATATTGCCTTGCTTACAGTAGCCTATTGACACATAACCCCTGTATCGTGATACGTATCAAATCAACAGATTTTTGCCAACACACAGCACCTTGCTCTTTGTCATGTTGGCCGTTTGCCTGATGAAGTCCCGGTAGTGGTGAAACACTGCCGTTTTCAATCAAAAACATTTTTTGGGGAGCTAAATCCAATGTGAGCACGCTGTACTTTTTTCCTTCCATTGTTGTCATTGAACCTGTCCTGCACCTGGTCTAAATATAGGATGGGACGAGCACACAATTACCACTCTCATCTTGACAAGTATAACCATACTGCCATGATATTTAAACTAGTTATCCAGCAATCTTAACGTTACACCCTCATGAAGGGGGAAGGTATGAGGTTAGGGGTTAGAACCTATTTTTAGAAATTGTCAAAATTGCATCAGAGGTAGAGATATTGTGACTTTTAGTCCCTCATATGGATCAAGTTCCAAAAATGCCGGATCTTACATTTCCACTAATGCACCTCAGTAGTGTCCTCCATTAAACCCTGCCTGCCTGGTAGATGCCCATGTCTTTCAAAATGACATATTTGTAATTCAGACTTTTTGTTATAAATTCATAGTGGCCAAGTCCAAGCTGAGGTAACCCTGATGACATCACTATGATGTCATCAAGGTTGTTCTCTCAGACTTTACGGAGCTCCACTAGAGTCACAGAAGAAGAACAAATGATAATTTGTGACCTCTGAATCAGTATGTGTCAAATAACTGTCTTACCTCACCTTTTTCAGTCACATCTCATGGTCTTCATCAGTGAATGGTATCTTCGAACTGAGATGGGGATCACAACTAACTATGAATTATTATGAATGCAAACATTTTGAACCCCTGATTTTACTCTAGCACCACTTAAGACCAACAAATTCATCATTTGAGACCTGAGCTAAATGATCTGGTCTTAGTTTGTGCAATGCTTTTGTACAGTGGAGATGAATGGACTTGTAGCCAGGAGAAGTTGTCAGTAAGGCTTTCCATTTTTATGTCGATGTATTAACGCGTTTGGCCTAATGGTAACACCAGAGGAACAAATAATCAAATACCAGAACACCAAGTTTGTTTAATTTATATAAGTACAATCATTAAGATATGTAATGTGAAGGAAGAAAAACATATATGAAATATATTTGCTCTGTTGTCAGGATGCCTGTAGGAAGCCTCAGCAGGTTTGTGGCCACAACGGAGAGACCTACAGCACAGTGTGTGACGCCTACTCTGACCGCGTGGCCGTGGACTACGAGGGCCCCTGCCACGCCGTTGGAGCAGTGTCAGATGTGGCCCCCGATTCTGCGTGCAGCTTGATTCGCTGTCCGCCTCTGTCCACTCCTGGCTGCAGGCCTGTCACCCCACCTGGTTGGTGCACTACAAGTATTTTTGCAGTGAACGTCAGACTTTGTTCACCTCACTTGATGGCTCTTCCTTATATGACATGCACATAGAGTTAGTTTCTGAAGGTTGCACTGAAATAATCCATGACGTCTGACCTGTTTGCAGGAGCCTGTTGTCCAATATGTGCCAGCATGCTGCAAATCCTCTGGAACAAAGAGCAGATGAACACTTTCTCTAAGGTACGAACAGCTCACATTCACTGTCCAGCAGTTCCAGTACTGTAATGCTCAGCAGTGAATAACAGTGTTGAGAGTTATAGTCTTATTATATAGTTATTATTGTTCCACAATATATTTTTTGAAAACTGAGTATAAGGATAGCTGTTTTGAGAACAAGATTTTAGTTCAACAATGTTCTCTGTGTGGATGCTGCTGGTGGTGTTAGATGTAATTACAGATGTTGACCACTTGGGGGAGCTATAAATCTAAAGAGTCCCCGACCGCAACTGCATGCAGACTGAACATTTTCACATTGATGTATCTGCACATCCACCAATGTCTTTGTTAGAAACAAAAATTGTTTTTGTTGATTTCATTTGACCCTTCCCAAGTCCTTTTTTGCTCTGTGCTCCAATAACAGATGAGCAAGCCTCAATCAGAACATCTGTCAACTTTCTCCTTTCCTGTACTTAGATAGGCTATGTGCTAGGCTAATGTTGAAAATACAGCTTTGTTTTGGTTAATAGATAATACGATAAAGAAGATAATCTTAAATGAAAAAAATATCTGGAAGGCTTGCTCAACAAAAAGGGGCGGGACTTAAGAAGGGTAACTTATCATTTGAATTCTTTTTTCTTTACTTTTACAAGAATAAACACATATTTTCTAAAGAAGGGAAAGCCGTGCACATGGGAGTCCAGTTGGCTGTTGCCTACAGTAGTTTGCCCAACACAAGTGCTGCTAATCTAAAATGATCACAAGACCAAATAATAAGTAGGAAAAATGATGGAGGTGACCAGATAAGTAAAAATGCTAAACAGTACATTCAAGTCCCCTTACTCTACAATCCATGTAATTCAATTCAATTCAATTCAATTTTATTTGTATAGCGCCAATTCATAACAGAAGTTATCTCAGGACACTTTTCAAATAGAGCAGGTCTAGACCGAACTCTTTAACATTATTTACAGAGACCCAACAGTACCACCATGAGCAAGACCTTGGAGACAAGGGCAAGGAAACACTGCCTGTTAAAAGGCAGAAACCTAGGACATATATGTAATATGTACATTAAACTACAGTATATATAATATGTACATTAAACTATAGTATAAATAATGTGTACATTAAACTATAGTATAAATAATATGTACATTAAACTATAGTATATAGACTATAAGATATCATATATAGATAGATATGTATAACAGCAGTGTAATGAGTAAATACTGGATCCTAATAATAAATGACAAACTCTACAGTTTATATTATCACTGCAGTATTAATAAGAAAGAGTATTATAGTTTATTATACTTATGTATTAATACAGACGTATTTTATATTAACCCGACCGATACATTGGTCTGTAAGCCAACATACTGTTAACTACAAGTGTACTGTTCCATAGGCATATCCCAAGAGAAACACTACTGACTTAATATTCATAACACACTAATCAGAGGTGGTTACTTCCTTCCACCTTTGGCCACAGGTCCTCTCACATGCCTCCCCCGAGCCTCCCTGGATGTGTGCCCAACATGTCGAACAGCAGTAAAGCCCAAGGCCCACCGACGCCTAAACACTGACACGTTAGCAGCTAATAAGTCCCACTGGCATCTCATTCCGATCGGCTTAATTATACAACAAAGCCCCCTTGGCTGTTAGCCAACTTGGCTGCAGTCCCCACCACGAGCACATCATAGTAAGACTCAACATTAAGCCTGTTAATACCAAACACAAGCCGAGCTGATTTGATCTGCAGCTGCTAAGATACATGAGAATATGAGTTTAACTGTGTTACTCCACTAAAACTACAGCTAAGCCTGGTGCGGCTACACGTTTTGACAAATAAATGCAGGTCTCCAATAGAGGCCGGATCCAGACTTGACCCGGCCTCTATTGTTAAATAATGTTAAATAATGTCTCATTTATTCTGAATGCACATGCTATTAGCATGTCATATGTGTATTGGACCTCTTAAAGCCCCCTGGGTCGCCCGCTTGAGCGAGTTCTGAGCTGCTTAGATCTCCTACACAAATATAAACGTTTAAACCTTTGTCAGTATGGATGCTGCACATCGTAGGATCAGTTAGATTCAGATCATTTTATGGAAACTATGAACACCAAAGTATAATTCATTCGGACTTACGCACTGTAAACAAGAGAGATGGAAAAAAACCTCTGAAGTGGTCATAATCGTACGTTGTGTCCATTCCTCCATTATTTAAATTCCTGTAGTCCGTCAGAGTCCACCAATCAAAACCATCGAAGGGTTTCATAAAAATGAATCTGAGTTGTGAATATTGTCATCTGAAGTCTGTTGCCTACTTTCTGCATGCTGACTGCTGTTAAGCAAAAGTACGACCTGAAATTTACCGCTGTCAAATCTGCGGAACAAAACTCAAGAGAAGCGGCACAGTTAGAGTATTTCCATCTGTGCTGAGCAACAGTTTGTGCTGAAGGAATGAAACGCTGGTCCCCAGTAAAGGCAGGGGGAGTACCCGGGCTATTAGTAGACTTTTTATGGTATATCTGTGGTACTAGCATAACACACCCAAACCCCAACTAAACTGTCTGTGTTTGTGTTGCATTGTGGGAAACTTAAGCTCCAGGTTGTGTATGGAATGTGTGGAACAAACCTTCATCATCTCTCAGGTTGAGGTCATCATGAATCGGACAATATAACATGCAGGCCTAACTCAGCGGAGGACTCGTTTAACAAACAGGTTATGTGTGTACACAGCAGGTTGTGTATTGTGGGTATTATTGCAGTTCTTTAACTCAGGATCCTTTTTTTCCACATGCCCACCGCCAGCTGTAAATAATAAATTAGGTACTCTTGCAGCTCTACTTTCTACAACATTGTGTTGTAGCTGAGATGTGGTCAGTGGAATATATTTAACACTATAAAATAATTACTATGAAATTCCCACTAATTAACTGGGAGCCATTTACAAGAAATTTACTGTAAAAAATCACAGTTTGTTTTAAATTTAACTGTAAAATCTCAGTATTTACTATTAACAGTAATTTTGATTAATTCAATTCAATTCAATTCAATTCAATTCAGTTTTATTTGTATAGTGCCAATTCATAACAAAAGTTATCTCAGAACACTTTTCAAATAGAGCAGGTCTAAAACAAACTCTTTAAAAATAAATAAAAAAAACCAACAAAACCACCAAGAAGACAATAGCAGTGAACTATATTTAAAGTATAACTTATGTTCAAGTTATATATAATTACATTTATATAATATTTAGTCATTTTAGTGTACATTTCTAACACACTGACTCCCTCAGGCACCATATTCAAATAAAGTAGAGCTAATACAGCACCACAGCAATGAGAGGAGATTGAAAAGGTAGTCTGTACTGTTGTTTCACATGATCATTCTGCATCTGTGCTGTATTAGTTCATTCAGCCCAACATGTTTCACTACAGCCCCTTCTTTATTTTAATTAACATCCCACTTAAGCTAGTACTAATAAGATAAGCCTTAGTACCACTGGAAACTAGTCAGAGATGTGGGCAGGGATTCATGTTTGGAGCCAGGCTAGTTAGCATCTAATCACCGCAGAGATTTTGGTTCACGCTCGCTGCTCATTGGAATTCCAGCCTCAGTTTTGTGAGTTGAAATGTTTTTTTTATCAACTTGCTTTAGTAATTTAAATACTACTACTACTTAACTATCTAAGTTAGTCAGTAAAAAGTACTTAATCAGGAATGTTTCTGTTACTTGACTAGTAGAAGCAGCTTAATCAAGAATCTTTTTTAACTTAGTGTTAAATAATTAATGTTCAATGTACATTAATTCAATTGTTTCAACAATAATTTTTCAATAGAATTTAAAAGACATAGAACAATGGTTTGAAGCCAAAAATGGCTTATGAAGATGCCTCCCCTTTATAAATATAATCATACATAATCAAAACATCCTCAAAATGTGGATGAAGCCTGAGTACTGCACCATATTCCTGTGGCATTGCACAAGATTGTTTGAAATTTATAAAAAGTAAAGTTGCTATTTACAACTTTCCCAATTGATTTCCTTGTTTTTAAATGAAATCAAGAAATGTTGCAATCAATAGCTAAGAACAATAATGAAGGGAGCCTTTAAAGGCTGTGTCCTGATGAATATTTATTCTGAAGCTCTGTTCTACATTCAGAAAACAAGTTTATTGCTTTTATCCCTCATTGAAATGCACCCAACATAGTTGTCCACTGACATTTGAAAACTTGCATCACAGCAGCATTAATTAAACACTGTCTGGTTCCCCCCACCCCCCCCTTCTGTTTGACCTTTAACCCCTGTGTGCAGCTAAACAAGAACCGGCCGGTGACAGTCTACGACGTCCTGCAGACCCTGCGACTCCACGTCTCGGTGCCGCAGTGCGACGTCTTCGGCTACCTGAGCATCGACCATGTGCTGGTGGTCCTCATCGCTCCGGTGGACCAGCAGCCAACACCGCTGCAGGTAACACACACACACACACAGTAGACTCATTTAGCCATGTCTTTGCATATTCAGTAATTTTTTTGTTCTTTTTGTGAAACCAACTTGAGTGTGTCAGTATCATTTAAGGTCATGGTCATTTATGTATTGAGCAGGGATCATAATACTTGAAACTAATAGAATAATTAACTAATAAAATACTAACTACTAACAGTGATAAACTAAACTAAATGTTTCTAAAACAGCATTTAGAGCATTCATTCCCAGAGACTGGGTCTGGACCCACATGTTCAATTGATTATACAGTACTGAAAACATACCCATAAATATTATATTCTGTTTCTGACAATAGATCCTCCTAAATGTTACACACTGGTCCTTTAAGTGTAGGATCTAAAACTATTACATATATTTTCCCAACCTAGTATGATGGATCAGTGAAAAAATATTCTTACAAGCTTTGGAAACATATCTTAGACTAATTTTAAAGAGATATTTATGTCAGATTTTATAAGACAAGATGCTGTATTAACACTCTGACACCTCCTGACAGTTTTGCAAATTCCACTGATCTGATAATCAGTATCATTCACATTTGTTAATTAAAAATATTTTCCATAACCACAGTGGAAGCACATTTTCCAGGTTGCAGTTTTGGGCTGACAGCAGGAGCTCTTTCATCTTTCCATTCTTTACACATACACAGAAACATAAACACACAGCGTGTTCAGCTCTGCTAATTACCCTGCTCGCTCCTTTTGAACATACATATTCATTCTCAAGGTGGTTACAGTGGTGAACTGAAAGGGAATGGTAAATGGACTGTACTTATATAGCGCCTTTCTAGTCTTTCGACCACTCATGCCACATTCACCCCATTCACACACATTCATACACCGATGCACAGCATTGAGAGCAATTTGGGATAGCTTTTGAGATGAAGAAAACCTTTTTATAGACACTGACATCTCATTAATAACTTCAAATTGGCTCATTAAGTGCGTTCTTACGTGGTCAAATACAGACACTTTGTGTTATGGTTAGGGGTATAAAGGTTTACCGATACGAGTCGGAAATACATTTTAACATTATAGTACTACATCGATACATCATAAATCACCCGTACCAGGAATGATGGTCGATGGCCCCATTCTGAACTTATGAATCGGCTGACTGAAGATTTGCTGCTAACCGCGTCTACCTCACATAAAAGGAAAAGGGTCAACGGCAGGGTCTCACAACAAGAGCAAGAAGAGTAACGTTAGCACAGCGTGGCTCACCAGGTCGGGACATCTGTCTGACAACGCCAACACAATTTACAGCACCATCAAATCAAACATCTAAAGTTTGGCAGACATTTGGATTCTATAAGATGGAAGGAAAGTCAGACAAAATCCTAGCCAGTTGATCTGAACCTGATCCAGAAGAACTGCATGAGATTGCATTGTATCGCCCCAAAATGTTTTTATATTAAAATGAATTGTCCCTGAATTGTATCCAGATACTTATCAGGGGAGAGATTCACACCACTAGTTCTGGTACACAGGAAACAAACAAAGTGGCTCAGAGTGAGCCACACAACACAACAGCTGGCGTTCATGTTTCCAGGACGTGGAAAGAGACTTAACAATCAACAATCTTTCTCCAGAATGACTGAAGGTAGAACAAGACATGCCTTTATTTCTCTCTCTGTTTGTATAACTTCGTGTTACTGCAGCCTGAATGTTATTATGACAGCATTCAATTCAGACAAAGTAACAGAAATGTTACAGGTCCAACCTACTCACCTAAGACTGTCATATGTAAAAATGACTGGGGCACCTATTCAGACATAGGCCAACTTTATTGTATGCTTTATCTATGAAATTGATCTCATATCTGATATTAATTGTGAATGACCCCCCTTTAAGTCATAAAGGGGGGTCATGTTAGGTTATTGTAATAGGAAGAGGTTTATGTGTGTCACACAGTAAGTGGGTTAAAAACAGTAAAGTACAGCTGCACTTTATCTGGAGCTGAGAAGTCTTCAGGCTGGTGTTTAACTGCTGCTGCTGCTGGAAGTCTAATCTAATCTTAGACCAGAATCAGTTCATGCCTACAAGCATTTAACATGCTTAAGTTTATGATAGACTGATACTGTGTGGTGGAAGAATTAAAGGATGGATAAAAGGGGAGTTACAAAAGAAAAAGACTTGAAGGGAGAGAACAAAAAAACAAAGACATTGAGAGGGAATCATACAAAATCACTATCAGAAGAAGAAATCTCAGGGAAAAAATCTATAAATTCAGACATCAAAGCAATTTTGTACTTGGAAAGATCCTTGAAGTTTTTGTTAAGGAAGACAATAGTTATAATAGTGAAATAGTTCAAGTCTGGTCATTACACTGACTTAGTTCTTGCTTTTATACCATTTTAAAGTAAACACACTTGATCACAGTTCTCAACTAAGTGCATGAGAGCAGTCTGATTTTGCCATCTCTTAGAATTTATTCCTGATTTAGATTTAGATGAAGAGCATCACTTACAGCAGAATACATAATTCCAACTACATTCTTGCAGAGGGAATGTATTACCAAGAAAGGTTGTATCAGTCGTTCCGTTTCTGGGGAAATTGTTAAATGAGCTCAGTGTAGCAGTTGCTACACATCAGGGCCTGTGGGAGGAATGGGCCAGTATGACGCCACAGATATTTCTGTTTTTGTTAGCTCAAGGTCTTCTTTTCTTTATTTTACTGCATTTGAAACAGTTGACCTCAGTCATTAAGAAATGAATGGTCGTGAGGTTCTTCATGTCCGAGGTGTTTCCTGGTTTTATCTCTCGGATCCAATCCAAAGTGTCTCACTGCAATCATACAAACATACTTCCTGACAAAACAATGGTCACAAATACAGTATAACCTGATTTATTTAGCATCCATGACAATGTGACAATAAAACAAACTGCTTTGTGGTTTGTCTTGACCATGATCTCAGTTGGGTCGAATACTGTACAGACATTAGTGTACTGTATTTTACAGTAGTAACATTTTCTTATGATTTGGAAAATCTCGAAAGTACTTTGTGATTGATGATTGGATGAACCATCTGTCTATCAAAGGTGAACTTAAATCAATCAGATCACAGTGTGATCACAAGCTAGACCATGTCAAGATGTGGTCTCACTGATCTGATTGCATTTCAGTCGCAATGTGTTGTGCAGTGAAGAGTTTTTCCTTAACCAGGTAGGATATCCAGATACAGATTACACAATAATAACAAGAAGGGTCTTAAAAAACATAACATGAATCACTGTTTAGTACTGGCAGCAGGCTGATAGAAATAGAAAGGTTGATAGATGGGGTCCATGTTTTGTGAAAACAATGCTCCTACCATATGCATAGTTCATTCCCCCAGATGTTTTCAGCTACATTTCTTTCATCAGTGCGGTAATGTAGCTGAAAACATTTTGGGAATAAACATAACATATGGGAGCAGATTTGTGCAACTGGTATTGTTTGCTCCTCAATGTCTCCATGCTGCCTGAATATGAAAGTTATTTGAATAGGCTCATACAGTCTGTTTTCCAGGGCTGTATCTACTTTATCAATTAGGATGAAAAGAAAACCGCTACAATATCAACCAGAAATCTTGTCTAGTCATCAGGGCTGATTCAAGTCCACTTTGACTTTTAACCTGCAGTTATTCTTCAGCTTCACTGTTTCAAGGTCATGGCAATAATGAACCAAAACTGTAGGACTGACAGTTTACAATTTATCATTTACACATTTATACTTTAACATTCAAGTCAAACAGGCTTCCAAAAGCTTGTAGCTGCAGTTGAGCAAGACAATGATCAGACTGGCACTCAATGAAGAAAGCCCTGTGAAGTTTAATTTATTATGATCCAAGATTGGGAGTACATGTAACTGATATGAATTTTTGAAGAATAATATTCACAAACTAATTAACAGACACTCAAGAGAAGCAGACAGTGGAACTATGGAGAGGCAGAATGAATCTCTCTTAAATGCTAAAGTGACATTGGATTTAGAGCAACTAAAGAAAAAAAAAGGATAAACATGAAAAACACAAAGCAAGTCTCAGTGGTTAAGGGAAGCTTCTTCTGATTTTAGTTTTAGTTTTAGCTGTTACTAGGCAACAGCTTCTTCCAGGTTGATGAAGGCAATGCCCAAACAAAGTTTCTAGATTCACATCTAAGCGCTGTACAATGTGCACTTGTAGTTTGAGAATGCACAACCAACAAAACTGAATCACGACACACAGAATAGCTTTGTATCAGTCGTGTCTTCTGTATGGCACTGCTGATGAATCCTTACACGTACTGCGACACATAGCCACCTGACACGATAATCAAGAGTTCATTCTATTCAACCTAACCTTGGGCTGGAATGTGTCAGCTGCATAAATGAAGAACTGTAGATAATGAATCCGAAGAAAATGAAAGAAATACGTTCTTCTGATATGGTATTGTGTCCACAGGATCAGTCATTTCCAAGTCTAAGTCAGCATTAGTCAGTTAAGAGACAGGGCGTTCCATTGGCCACTACTCATTTGCAACAAGTATTTGTCGAGGCTACTTTAAGCAAATCGGCAGCGCAACCCACCGCCTCTGAAACTCCAGAAAAACTTTGAGGCTATGTTCACACTGCAGGCACAAGCGGCCCACATCTGATTTCTTTACTCGTGTCTTTCAGATCAGATTGACAGTGTGAACAGAACAAATCACATGGAATCTGATCTTTTCCATTCTTATTTGGGCCGTAGCTTCACAGGGAGGTTGTGAGGCCTTCTTGATTATAAGGGGTGAAAGAAAACATAAAAATATACAGGCCTTTGTAGGCCTATGTCTCAGCATTTTATCTAATTCTGTGAAGAAAACTAAATGAAATTGTTTGCTGGTTGTTTGCTTAAATGTATGATAGTTTAAGATGAAAAATATATACATACATCAATACAGACATAGAATTGTATAAGAAGTCCCTAAAACTGTCCCTCACTCACCTCTGGTGTAATATTCACAGTAAATAGTCTGCTCAGAATTCATCTAAACTGCTTGTTTTACAAACTTGTCAGTTGTTCTGTACTGTTACTATCCTTAAAATATGTCACTTAGTCAGTTTACTCAATGATGTTGGGAACCCCTGATCTAGATCTACATTTGTGATGCAACTTCAGGGCTGTGACCTGTTCACACTAGAATCTGATATGGGCTAGATTAAAAAAATGTGAACAGCCAAACAAAAAAAATGTAAGCAATTTTAATGATGTAACAGAAAGTTTCCAAACAAGCCACGGCATTGACTCAGTTTGAAATCCCATTCCCAGTTCGGAGTGTTGAGCTTGCTCTTGTGTTTTCCAGATCGAAGCCTGCAGTAAGGAGGCGGAGAAGATCGATTCCCTCATCAACTATGCCAGCCCCACACTGGTCTCCCACGTCCCCCTCTCTGCCTTCCTCGCCTCCGAGATCAAGACCTCCTCCATCCACTCGTCCGGGGGCACTCCACCCTCACCTCTGCCCCCCGGCCTGTGCCTTTTCCTGGGCCTCCTCATCGCCGTGGCCCCTGTCTTCCACCAGCTCTAAGCATTAATATCTCCACCTAGCCTCCCTCCCTCTAACTCTCAAGTGTTCCAAAGTCCCCCCCCCGTTGCTGGGATGGGGGTGTTATAAGGTGAGTGTGTTTGGGTGGTGGCGGAGCACGAAGAATCAGCGGCGCCGTCTTTCGACAATCATTCTCATTGACTCACCTGCGTGTCAAACAATCAAGGCGGTAGAAAAGCTATTACTAGGGAAAGCTTTTGTATGAACAGTGTTATTCAGTGGACGAGTTACTCACTGGGTTTCCCTCCAGTGAAGTGTGCTTAAGTGTGTGACTGTGTGTGTGAGTGTGAGCGTGTGTGACCTTTAAGAAGCATTTGACTTCATACCAGCAGTGTTTATCCATTAGTCCCAACAGCAAGCTCTCCTCTGAAAGCTGTTAAGTGGGAATGTAAATTTCATGACTCACTCTGTCTTGTTCTGGAGCTTGGAGTGTGTGTGTGTGTGTGTGTGTGTTTTTGCATGTGTGTGTGCCCGATTGGATTTCGGAGACAGACAAGAACAAAACATCCCTGTCTGGCAGCACATCTGTTTGACAAATTACCTGAAATTCCCTCAGTCACACACACACTTTTGCACGCACCAACACACAAAGGTTGGTGTCACTAAATCCAGACCACTCTGTTCACTGTAAACCATGTGTTAGATGGAGTCCGTGACACCGTTCAAGCCTCCAGTAAACGAGACTGCACAGTCTGTACCACGGTGCACAATGTATGTACATGTGAGGTGTATATGGACCTAGTGTTTGAACCTCTAACCTCAGCAGTGTTAGTGCCATGCTCATGGACTGAGCCAGCTCAGATGAAACTAATCCAGCCTCCAAAGTCGGTTCTAACTACTGACCAAAACAAAGACCCCCCTTTTCCACCAACGCAAACCTAGTACTAGTTCTGGGCTGGTGCCACTGCAGGTTCGGAGCTGTTGCTCAGCTAACATCCCCCAAGCAAGCATAGCTAATTTCTAACATCAGTGTTTCATTCACAACATCAATGTTGTGTTTGTAACATTAATGTTACATTAATTAGGAACTATGCTTGTTTAGGTAATGTTAGCTGACCAACAGCTAGCTAGTTAGCCAGCTAATTCTATGTTACATTCACAACATCGACATTGTGTGTCTGGCTACAAGGCAACCCCAGCCCCTGAAATAAGTGGATCCTGGTTCTAGACCAGCAAAGTGCCACACTAGAACTAGCTTTCTTGTCAGAGAACTGGATCTGTTAAAACTTAAAAAACTTGTTCAAGATTAGGCACTGGCTCTGAACCAGCCCTCAAACTGCCTTGTTGGAAAAGGGGCAAAAGTGTCCAAAAGTCAAACAAAAAGTTCAAATATTAAGGGAGGCCAGGTTCTGTTGTGTTTCACTCAGCAGTGTAGAGCAGCAGATCAGAGCTGAAATGGTGATCCAGGACCTAAAACGATCTTGGATATCAGTTGGATGTCTCAAACCAAACCTAGCAACACTTTATCGGATGTGGTGTTCATTAAATATCAAAAGAGTAGTTTAAGGAGCATACCAGTGTTATTCTGCACCATTGCCTGACAACTACAAACACAACATCACTATATAGATGGATGTTCCTACTTTTCAGCTCATTCCAGAAACATGTTAGGGCAACAATTATTCTCAATTTTAATTTATCTGATTATTCAACTAATGTGGTTAAAATGTCAGAAAATGGTGATTTGAGACCATCGGTTCCCAGAGAAAACAGGACACAATATCTTGGCTACACCAGTTATGTTCACTAGTTTTACCTCTCCAGATATAGAAAAACTGGACTATACTCTTTGATGAAAGTGCTCACCAATCATAGACATGTGTAACCCATGACGAGGGTTCTTAAGTGGTTTGCTACTACTGAGTTTGCTTTAAAAGGTCAAAAGCCAAAACAGTTTGGAACCACTATTCCAGACTTGTGATGAGGTCTTTAAATGTTTAGTTTTGTGCGACCAACAGTCCAAAATCCGAAGGTATTGAATTTACAACAATTGAAAAAAGCAGTAAATGTCTGACTGTCATTGCTGAACCTTGACACGTCTATGAATGCAACACGAGATTTAGTCCCTGCTTGCAGCTACATAACGCGTGAAGACTCAAATTAAAGTGTTCGTTTTGATAGACGCCCATCTCAAGGTTTACAGATCTACAAGTATAGTGTACTGAAATGAGTTGAAAACAATAGCTGTGTGGAACATTTCAGATCTGATTGTAAAAGTATGTATTTGGTTTGTATATAAAGGGGTTCACCACCAGTTAAGTGTTAAGACAGGTTTTGAAAAGTAACGGTGGTCAACTTTTAGTCCCTGGTAGTAAATTCCCAAAATGCAGCTTAAAAGACTTTTTAGATTCTAGTGGCCTGATAAACTCCAGCATTGTTCTGAATGTATAGCTTTCAGTTTCTCCATACTTGTTAGAATACTTTCACCTAATGTGTTGTGAGCGTTAGGAAAACACTGTACAGGAGTATCTGATGGGCACCACTTCTGATAAAGTGTTACCAGGATCTTCCATGCTGGTATAGCGCAGCAGAACAGCCTGGATCACCTCTCCCTTTGTGTGAGGCCAATACCTCTGAAAAGCATTAAAAGGGATGCTTCCTGTCTGTACATATGAACTAGAAGCCATTTAATAACAAAAAGGACAATCAGCTAGTCACTACCCACAATCCACTTTGGGTAGAGAAGATTTCCATAGTATGCCTTGCGTATAGTGTCTTATATGAAGTAATAATGAAAATGCAATAACTTTATATTTGTTAAGAAATGTCTCTATATTTGATATGTATCTGATTGAGGTAATGATCACCTATGTGCCATGTTTTTTTAAACATTCTTTATTGCATGATGACAATTATGAAGTGTTTTTACTCCAGAATGTATTATAGTATATAGTGTGTGTTGTCTGTATGTGTTTGTCTATCTGCCTGTATAGCACAATGTGTCCCAGTCTCTAACAGTATTACTGTGCTAGGCAGCTCTGTAGCAGGGACCTCTCACCACAGCTCCTCCATCTATTATTATTATTATTATTATTATTATTATTAGTGTTATGTTTATGTCCTCTGGAGCCAACATGAATTCTGTTACTTTTCAATATTTTGTATGTGTTCAGTGAGTTCATTTGTTTTCATGTCACGTTTGAATCAACTAAAGTTCAATCTAAAGACTGATGTTTTCTGCTCCTGATGAATCCTTTCTGTTGCTAAAAGAATAGTTCAGCATTTTGGGGGGGTGGGATGAAAAGATCTATAAAACTGACTAATGACCACCTTGCATCTTGTTTATTTCATTCAGCCATACTAAAACCACAGAAAAATGTGGTTTTAGGTAGCGATATATATCCTGATGCACAATGGTTTATTCATCCGCTAGTCATGTCATGTAAGCCGCTATGAGAAACTCTCAAATATTGACTCAAAATAATGACTTTGAGATAATATTGACAGAATATTTTGAGATGCTAAGTCAGTATTTAACGTTTCTCTCTTATGACTTGCAGAATCCCTTTTTATTTTGTCACATTGGCGGAAATGGGCTTCCATAGAAAAGGGTTTGAGGATGAGGACAAACCCCAAATACAATATGGCAACATGTTCTCCCTCATCAAATACTGCCACATGGTTAGTGGCCCAAAATAGGCCACTGTAGGTGTCTCTGACACCTAGTTGACGTAACATTACATAAGTTTACATCGTACAAAGCGGACGACCAAGCCGCAGTATTTGATGACTTGGTAGTGTGGCTGGGTTGAATATAGAGCTGGACCAAGTCACTTATCTTATAACTTTGATATAGCAGTTAGCATAAGGTCCTATTATGTCACACTGGCTGCGATGTAATTCTATAAATGTGTACAAGTGTTGCGTCAGCTGTGATTGGACGATGGCTGTTTTGGGGAGGGGTTTAGCTAGCAGAAAGTCAGTTAGTGAGCTTTAGAGGTGGGTGTATGTTAGAACATTGGACGAATCCAGGATAGCTGTTTCCTCCTACTTCCTCTTTATGCTAAGCTAAGCTAAATCCAGCTCAGTCCAATGAGAATTGCGCACATTTTGGCTAATAGCCAAAAACTTTTTCTAGCCTCAAGGTTTACTTCCTGCTTATGCAGCCCATTGACTGTTATAAATGAATAATATTTCATCCTACAAAGAGTCATAATTGACTTTGTTTGCAGTTTGAGGTGTCCCGTCATCGGGTCTGTGGGGAAAATGCTTTTTAGGACACAGATGAATTTTTCCCTGCAATATCGTGAAAGGCCACTGGGAGAAATTGGAAGTAAAGCCAACTTTTTATATATCTATGCTCCAGCTCCATATTTAACACACAGATCCATCTTCTCATCTCCCCCTCAGAAAGGAAGCTAGTCAGTAAAATATTCATACATTGTACAGATTTTTTTGTCTGTGTGTTACAGCTTACTCGGCAGCCCTGTGGAAGCCGACAGGAACAGTATTTTTAACAGGAAGCTTCTTTCTCCTGTCTTTCTCCTGTCATGATGTAAAATCAGTGTTATGGAGTGTAATCAAACCAGTCAGCTGTTCTGAGCTTATAAACCCTCAGGCAGGCTGGAGGAGTCAGTCCAATGTGCTGAGATGGTTTTCTGTAATAATAATAATAACCCCATGTTGTCACCTGTACTGTGTTGGTTTGGTGTGACTCCTCTAACCGAATGTTGGTTTGTAAGGGTCATTGATGGTTGATTTTTTTCTTTGGATCATCGCTGTGTTTGACTGTAAAAGTGACATGAATTAAAATAATTGGAAGAAAGTCAACAGGATTCATATTTCATGAAATAAAAAAAACAATACCACAACCAAAAACTGTTACTGCTACGTGTTACAAACTGCTGTGAGCCCAGCATTCACACCTGGAAGTCAGATAGAGCAAATATGTAGCCTCACTCCTGAAAACCCACAGATGAGATTTGACTTTTTAATCAGACTCATCGCTGAAGCTTCTCATCCAACAACAAACAATACTGAGCATCAGGTACTAATGTATTGCAGACTGGCCTGAAGGCTGCAGAGGAACACAGAGACCTGCTCTGATTTATCATTTGTTAAAAAAGTTACAGAAACCACTCAAAACTTTGCAAAATGTAAGGTGTGTGAAGTCAAAGAGTGCTCGAGGGCTGAGGCATTAATGTTTAAACCACTGACATACAAACACAACTTGTAATGTTCTCTCCGTCTCACACACACACACCCACACACTTTCTCAGATGAGCACATGAAGTGAGTGATCGCTGGTGGAAGCAATCAGGTGTAAAACCAGTCTCTGCTGTGCATTGTTTCAAGCTCTGTGTCAGACTGAGATAATAAGGATGTTACAAGGGTTGCAGACACAGACATAATGTGGAAAAAATGCATAATTTTGCCAAAGTATCTTTTTCTAAATGAACCTAGTTTTTCACTATTGTATTTTAAGTTTTGACTGTGCTTGGTGGGCAGTAAATGTGTGCACATGTACAGTATACGTATGTGCAATCTTGAATTGTGCCATTATGGCCCAAACCAAACAATGCAACAGTCCGTTCGTTATTTTATCTTTTAAGGAGTAGTCCGAATGGTTCCTTTATTCCCTAAAGTGAGACGAGACGATTGACATCACTCTCCTATCTGTGCATTAAGTATGGAGCTAGAGCTGAGAGATTATTAGCACTAGATGTCACACTAGAATTGCAGTTATTATGTTCACTGTTTGTGTTCATTGCATTAAATAAGAAAGAAGAAGGATCCATAAAATATGTCACTTAGTCAGTTTACTCAACGATAGAAAAGAGGTCCCTTGAGGAAAAAAGTTGGGAACCATTGCTTTAAAGGTCCAGGTTGTTGGATGGGAACTTTTAACTAGGGAACTAGTGGTGTAGTTGCAGATTGCCTCCCCTTCCAAGCGCAAAGGAGAAACTACAGTGGAACGAAAAACGCTACTATCTACAGCCAGTGTTTGGTTTGTCCATTCTGGACTATAGCGGACTCCATGGAAGGTGACCTGTGGCGTATGAAGATAAAAACAGCTCACTTTAAGGCAACAAAAACACAATGACTCTTACATTCAGGTGATCATACCTATGAATATTATATTCCATTTCTGCCAATAGATCCTCCTAAATGTTACACTGTGGCATTTAAATGAGAACATTTCTGTAAAAAAGGCTACAATGGCTGCCATATAATGGTAGCTAATCTTTGGGGACAAATGTGCCTGTCAGTACGTCCACTAAACGTTGTTGTTTATGCCACTGATAGGCTCAGATTGTTATTCTAAGTGTCTGACAACATTATAGAAAGCCCTTTTGACCTGATAGAACTTTTGTTCAACCAGAAACAGCCGTAATATTGCTATCGCTCACCACCACAAAATCTAATTTTACCTTTTTCAAATGTTCATTTGACAATGACAGGAAGTCTTTAATTAGTCTTTTATTCAAGGAATTCTTTCCCCAGTGGGATGTTTGATGGATTTTTTAAATTCTGTTGCGCTCTCACAAATTTCTCTAGTTTGTCTGTCAAGATGAGTGGTATGTTTTTGTTTCCTTTAATATTCCATTCAGGTGGTGAGTAATTGCAGATTCGGTGCTGTAGACACAGTTTATTCTGGACCCAAACCTCTAATCTCAGTCATTCTAATCACAAAGCTAAAAACTAAAATAGAAGTTAGTTAGTTACACAGTGTTCAGCAGACAGTGGGTGATGCTCACTAATTATATTGTTCTGGTGAAAACCCAGAAGCCTCCACTGAAAATGATTAAAGTGGAGCTTTTGACATTTAATGTGTAAAAAAAATTATTATTTGTCCTCATATTTCCAATGTTTTGTCATCCAAAAGTTAACCTTGGAGCACATAAGAATCTAATGAAGAATCTATTTATGTTTAAGAAGGTGCAGCAGCAAAAGTGAAATGAAATGGATAGCAGTAGTAAATAGCATTGGTTGGTCATACACTAAAGAGGTTAAGGGATCGCCAACGTTAATACAGTTCATGCTGAGGGGATCATGAATGTGTGTACTACATGTACATTTCATGGCAATCCATCATGGTGGCGCTAGAGGAAGAGTTAGGGAATCACCACAGTCATTAGGATTCTTTATCTAGGGAACATGAAAGTCAGTTCAACATTTCATCTTAATCAAGCTAAAGGAGTAACAGGATACAAAAAATAGGTATCTGTCATCCATTATAGTTAGAGACAGACTTATTAGACTACAGTTACATTCAGTAAAAATTAGGATCATAGCAAACAGTAACCAATTCCTTATCTCTCCTCTATAAAAAAAAATGCTTTCACTGGGTGGAAATCTCACCATCAGGACAACAACATCACAGTACAGTGCAAGTTACGTGTCAAAGTTGAGACCACAGATCATCTTCCAAAAAAGGAGATCATGTACTTAAAGACATCAGTACCTGCAGTAAATGACCAAAGGGCTTAGCAATCATAAGACTCACTACACACACTTTCTCTCTCCCAACTCATCAAATACAGCAGCTTGGTCAGTGGCCCTTTAGCACCAGTTTTGCATGTGCAGAGCTCCGCAGTCAAGTGAGCAACAATTAATGTGCAACATCAGGTTAGACTTTCAAAATAAAGCTTGCGAGACAGAGTTTAAACGGTCGCAGTTTGGTTAGGTTTAGGAAAAGACTGAGGATTGGTAACATAAGTAATGAAGTCATTTTTGACTTTTGGCTTTGGCTTTGGCTTTTACCATGGTCTCCTGGATTCAAGCTCTGTGTTTGTTTGACCCATCCATCCTTCCACACAACCTCCTCCATATGCAGACATTCTTGCTCTTTACACTAAGTCATGTGACCTCTACGGTACATCAAAACATTATGCCAGACATGCACGTGAAATGACACAAAAGGGGTCCCCTAAAACATCCTAGTTTAAAGCACAGGGCCAGAGACTATAAAACCAGGATGACTGTCGTTGTGTATGGTTATTTCAGTAGCTAGCCTGATATCCTCTGTCCTCACATTTTATTTTATTTTTTTATTCAAATTTCATTAAAATTGTGAACAACGATGGCCCACTCAACCCGTCCCACAATATAAAAATAATAATAATTAATAAATAAATAATTCAACCTATTACAAAACTGTCAGTCATATAGTGAAATGCGGACCCACAGCTAATTATGAAAGTGACATAGATAAGTAGGGAGGCACAAACCTATTGGGATGGTACAAGGTAAATAGGCTGGGAAGCCATTATAAAAAGGCAAATTAATGACTGAATAAAATAGAATTTGCTAATTGCTTGGACCGTGCATTGAAAGCATAGTCGTGACTCAGTGCCTGTGTACACTACAAGTTAGTTGGAGTTGGAGTTGGAAATTATTTTTGATAAATTGACCACAAATTCAAAATATAAACTCTTTGTTTCTCGTTGAAAAAAGTCTCAAAACTTAATTTAGTTTTGCCTTCTGCCTGCAGTAGACAGGATGGCCACTTCCTGCAGAAGCTTGCAGTCAGGCAGGTTAAGGTAATGTTGTGGCAGCTGTGCAGGCCTCCACTAAGGCTATAAAGGCAAAGCTCTTGTCATTGTAGGGTCCACACCTCCAGGTTTTGCTGCTGGTTGATATGAAATGAATGCTGGGATGATATTTGTCCACACAAGTCAGTTTGGACTTTGGATCCTTGCTAAATCTAGGTTTTGAGTTGGGACAGTTCTAAGATGTTTTCACAAGTCAATGAGAACACAAATACAGAAGCCAGACAATTACATTTTTAATATCCTGACACATATTAAATGTTTTCAGTTCATTTTCTGGTCCTATAAAGTAAGTAAGTAAAGTAATCAAAACCTGGTCAGCAAATGACCAAAGGGTTTTCTGACTGTGGACAGGAGTGTAAAATATTATATATATATAATATATATATTCACAGGAGTGTTTGGTGTTACACAGCCTTTTAGAAAGCAAGCATCACTTTACATTGCCTCTCTGAGCCCTCAGCAGTCTGCATAGCTGTGGTGATAGAAAGGGTTATTGTAGTATACCCAATTTAAGGGCCCCAATAGAGTGCCAGGTCACTCACCTGCCATTGTCTAATTCACAAAGAAAATAATCCCCTGGCTCCTGGCCCTGCTGCAGTTACACACCTCACCTCTCACTCAGCTCATCATCCCTCCTATCCGCTCACCTGGCTTTCACCATGCCATCAACCGGTTGTCTATGGCTTCATTCACACTGCCAGCCTCAGAGTTGGCAGAGCCTCACAATTCTTTTCTGGCTTTTTTTTTTCTAAGGTCAGATTCTGTTGTTTGGCTGTTCACATTATTTTTTAAATGAATGTTTTAGATGGAGTAATAAATGTACTGAGTTTGGGTTAGGGGGTTAGTGATTTTTATGGTAGGGGGAACTCTGATAAGAATCTGTTGATTGTCACACTGAAGGCCTAAAGCATTCACATGTGATTTACAGCGGTACTGTTAGGAGGTCACCAGGTGTTTTGTGTATACTTGGTGGTATAAAAGGTAGATCATTCTGAAAGTTTGGGAGAGAACATCCATGCTGAGGTCTTCTCTTCATGCTCCATAAAGTAAAAACACTTTTTTCATCACACCAGGTCTGTAATTCTTTAGAGAACTAGCAACTCTCAATATTTGGAAGAATGTCTCCTACAACACCATCTCCTCTGTCCACAGTCCCTCCAATGTGCCCTGACCACCAACCTCCATCGGTCAATCAGCTGACCTTAGTTGCAATAAAAATGTATTTTTACCACCACAGTCCAACATTTGAGTTCTGTTTAAAATTGTAACAGGCGA